TAATTTTGGTACCTAAAACTCTCCCGTGACGAGAGCTATATATTTGTATGATGGAAGGTCAAAACAAAAATCGTAACAAATTTCGCAAATACAATATACCTATCCCTATCATTGATGAGGCACAATAGTCTCTCCCTTATATTTTTCGAAATATTTATCATTATTTCATTCTACTCCATATCAATATTTACTGAGTATTAATTCATTGTCTTGAAATTTATGCCTACCACTGACGAAATGGAGATATCAGACGTTTTCCTCGAATTAAAAATTCACAATTAGTTTTAATAATTATCACCTGAAAGCAAAAAGCGTGACGGTACCTTGGACTAAACACGAATTAATTACTAGATAAGTATACAAGTATACAAGATGTGCAAGCTGGATTTAGAAAGGGGATGGGATGTATGGATCAAGTCTTTTCCATGCGCATGATTGCGGAGAAATTTTTGGCCAAAAACCAGAAAGTTTTTTGTGCGTTCATGGACTTAGAAAAGGCTTATGACAGAGTGGACAGGAACGTGTTATGGCAAACACTGACCTCATTTGGGTTGAGCGCTGGTCTGATACAGGCATTAAAGTCTCTTTATAGGGACTCTAGTGCTTGTGTCAGGATCAACGTGGCCTACTCGGACTGGTTTGGCATTCAAAAAGGTGTCAGACAGGGTTTTGTAGCTTCTCCGTGGCTGTTTAACCTATTTATGGACAGCTGTTTGCAAACTTTGAAAGTTGAAGAATGTGGGTTGAGAATGGGTGAGTTAACTGTCAAATGCCTTTTGTACGCCGATGATCAAGTCATATTTGCATCGTCGGCGGCCGAGTTGCAAATGATGGTTAATTTAATGAACTGGTCATTAAAAGAAAGGGGTATGAAAGTGAACGCAAGTAAGACGAAAGTGATGGTTATTGAAAGAGAAGAAAGTAAAACGTTACGTGAAATAAGAATAGAAGGGGAGTTGATTGAGCAAGTGGATGAGTTTGTATATTTAGGATGTTTATTTAGCAGGGATGGTAGATATGACAAGGATATAGAACGACGAGTGAACGCAGGAAATGGAGTTAATGGGGCTCTACACGCTATTATGAAGAGTCAGAATGTGTCAAAGAAGGCACGTATGGCAATTCATAATGGTGTGTTAGTAATGTATGGTAGTGAAAGTTGGGTATGGCAGAAGAAGCATGAGAGTAGAATAAAGGCTGTAGAAATGCGGTCATTAAGGAGTATGCTAGGGCTGAATCTGAATGACAGGATGAGAAATAGTGTGATAAGAGAAATGTGTGGTTTGCAAGATGACGTTGTGACTAGGATTAAAAAAGGAATGCTTCGGTGGTTTGGTCACGTAGAAAGAATGAACGAGGAAAGAGTGACAAAGCAAATTTATGTTTCAGAAGTGAACGGCAAAGTCGGGAAGGGACGCCCTAGACGAAGATTTATCAACCAAATCGGCGATACATTGAAAATGGACAAGATTAGGAGTACCCTTAACCGACGAGCGTGTATGCGTAAATATATGGATGTAAAGGAGGCGAGAGGAGTGTGTCAGGATCGCACCAAATGGAAGTCCGTAGTCTCTGCCTACCCCTCTGGGTGACAGGCGTGAATGTTTGTATTGTATTGTATACAAGTTTGTTGATAGTGAAATTAGTTTGTTCCTTAGTCAAAAAATAATTAGTTTTAATAATTATCACCTGAAAGCTCAAAGCGTGACGGTACCTTGGAATAAACACGAATTAATAACTTGATAAGTATACAAGTTTGATGATAGTGAATTTTTTTTCCTTAGTCAAAAATCGAATAAAAAAGAATATTATTGGCATATACCATCGAGTTGCAAAAAAATTCAAAACACGAAAAAAAAACACATAATTGCAGCTACTTTATAATCAATTCAAATTTGATTTGGTAGGGTGAGTGGGGAGAAGATGAAAAACGGGGTAAGAAAAAAAGGGATCAGTAAAGACAGATTTTGTGTAATTTATCCAATGCAGGCAACATTCATAAGACCGCCATTTTGTTACGTATCACACCTAAGTCGGCACTTGTCGTTTTGAGGGATCGGTTGTGTGTTATAAGGGAATATCTACGCTGTGTATTTTACGCGAGCAAGTCGGGTGTTTTAATCTCACCCCGTTTTTTATTTGTATACATACTTATTATTTTTAATTGGTAGTTATGTTGCTATGTCTAAATATCGCTACTTTTTGGATTTTAGAATTTATTGTAACATTCCGTCTTTACCCGCCAAAATTTGACGGGGTAAGATAAACATATAAAAGTTTCCATCTTGCCCCGTTTTCAAAAGTCATACAAATGGTCTCATGTTCTCAAACTGTACCTGAAAAAATGTTTTGTTTTGTTACAGCCATTATATAAATTGTCAGCGGCACAATTTCAGCTAATATTATATAAAGGTATTTATTTTAATTTTTGTATATTATAAGAGAGGCAAAAAGAGCAAGCGGGTCACCTGATGGCTAAGAGATTTCACCACTGCCCATAGGCACAAGAAACAACAGGAGTGTTACTTGTGCGTTGCTTTCTCATAAGGTATAGGAACAGGATTCGTAGGAATGGGAGTAGGAACTTAAAGAAAGAGTAAAGACCACCAGACACTCGTTAGTAAATGCAACATCACAGCTCCTAGAACAATGCAACGTCACATAGGTTTATCTAGCAAACGTCAACATTCGGGTGGCCTTAAGAAAAGGGGAAAAGGAACGGGCATCCGGAACTCTCACTCACCAGACGAAACATGGCAGCCATTAAGAAGCTAACCACTTTACGCTGATTTTCTGTGAGAGGGTAGTATCGCACCGGTCGACCCTGTTCATTTATGTGTTACAGTGAACTGTAGACGTGGACGTACTACCAATTTTTTTTATTAATGTTTAGATATAATTTTTTTTTGAAGTTTTTCTATGTTTATAGTTGTAACATTTTTCTAAGATCTTATTAATTGGTTAGCTGTTTAATTTTGAAATATTTATTTTTTTACGTTTTGTGCTACATATTTTGTTGACGTAAATGGTAAAAGGTACATGTACGTGTTTAATTATCTTGCCATTAAAAATAAAAAAAAAATTATATGATTGATATCTTTCATTTTCTGTATAATCTTATCCAAGTAAAGTGAAAAGTTTGAGAACCTCTAGTTCAATCTTTCCCCGGCGGGTCAAGATTGAAATATAAAAAACAAATAAGTTGTGTTATCTGTGTTATTTGAAGTTATTTTGATATTATAGACAGTTCTGAAGTGTCAGGACAATTAAAATTGTAGCCTACTGACAGTCAATATCGTCTGGCATTAATTTGAACGATTTTAGAAACTACTTCGATCTTTCCCCACCACCCTTTCATCTTTCCCCACCACCCTTTCATCTTTCCCCCTGTTTTTTTCTTTCGCTAAAAACATTGTAATAATTTTTTTTGCTTTCGAATAAATATAACAGGGTTTTATCGATATGACATAAAAATATGTTCTTTGTACTTTATTCACATAGATATAATTTTAGCTTAAGTTAATATGTACTGTTTTACAAGACGTCAAACACAACACTGCTTATCTCATCAAAAACCGTTCGATCTTCCCCCCACTCACCCTAATCATTGCTATGTTACATGGTAACGAAGACTTTTTAGCGAGGAGAGCCACGAGTAATCTAGTCAAGAAGCGAGATTCCTGCGAAAAATCGTTCGAATTAGGACAAAAATATGAGCGATTGCTCATTCGACGCGACGATCAAAATTTTGAGAAAGAAGTTTTTTATTCTGGAGATCAAAATTTTGAAATTCAGTTTGTTATAAACAAAAAACATGAAACAAAAATAAGGGTCAGCTTTTTGTTAATAACTCAATAACTAAAGGGGTCTCCAAAATCGGAAAAATATCCTTATAGAGGAGAAAATTTCATAAAAAATAATCTTAACTCCCGGAATACAGTTCCGGGAGTTAAGATTATTTTTTTCAAATTCAATATAAGCGACTATTTGTAGAACTTGTGTGAAATAATCGGTTACCGACTGTTTGACGTGGATTATCTTAGTCGGAAGGTGTAACGTTTCACGTTTTTGTGACATCAAGTAAATTACCAGAATACCACGTCTTAATAAGTTTCACTTAAAAAATTACGCTCATGCGAAGTTGGGCAGGTTTGTATACGCGGGCCCGTAGCAATTGCTACACTTGCTACGTGGTTAATCCGGCACTGCCTGCGTGCTGTCACGCAAGCAGTGCCGGATGTGCGTTTAAAATCGTTTTAAGATTTATTTCCACTTTTCAAAAGCGAATTGGTGGGTAAGAGGGATAAAACAACTTCATCAAATACGTGGTGCTAAAGAAATTGTTCGAAAATTAATCGCTGAAAAGGGACAGCAAGCAGTCATCAATGCGGTTACCAGTGTAAACAAATAGAGAATTGAACCTGGCTAGTATAGCCAGTGTGGACAGCACAGGCCTATTGTTCTGTAGTACGGGCAAATGTATTAAGTAATGCTTTCCAGTTGTTGCATCTTTGGAAAGCCCTATTTTCAGCTGTGGACTTCAAAGGAATTTATTTTGTTGTTGTTGCATCAACATCTACATCTAAAACTGTTATAACCAGAGGCTGGTCCGGCCTTGAAATCTAGGAATGGTCAAAGTTGGCCACCTAGGTTTTCTATTTCTAGTTTGATGGTGACAACTGTTGGGTTAGTCGGTAAGTGTTGATTAACCTCTATTGTCCCCGCAGCGGACGGTATCCATGAGCATTTATTCACGGAATTAAATTTATTCCCTTATTATAATAATAGGTGAAGTATAGCAAACAAAAGCCAAAGGATTCAAAAATAAAGTTTACATAACACAATTTCATTTGTGCGATGACAGTGCTTCAATCTTTCCACATTTTATAGACATAGGCCCACAGTCAGGGCGTTGATCATACGATTTGACACTTTTTATAAATGTAATTACGTTTATAATATGGTAAAAAATAATTATCAAGAAAAATTCGAAAACTTACCAGTTCCCAAACCAACAGTAATGTGATTGTTAAGAAGTTTTCTGACGGGACAAAGTCCTGACTTAAGCCTTGTATTGGACGCTGGACAGTGAGCTATTGAAACTCCTTTCGTTGCGAATAATGAAATTTCATCTTCGTCTAGATATATTGCATGAGCCATTATGCACTAAAATGTTTACAATGCACTTAATTTTTGAAGTTTAAATACATCTGTACTAAATTATATTTACTCTTTACTTTTATGTTTTATATATATACTATTTGCTGTATTATTCCATTATTATATATAATATCAAAGAGTTTTTAGTAAAGTTATGCCAAAATATTCAGGGAGCTGGGGTCAATTTCTATGTATGTTTCCATCTTTGTTGACAATTTTATTATGTAATGTATTTTATTTCTATTTTTATTTTTATGCTCACAATCAAATACTATGACTAACCATTTTGTTATTTTTTAGTTGCAAAGTCTCTAATTTATAAATTATATAAAGGGTTTTTCAATTGGCGCGGGTAGATTTTGGCGGCCCGTGGCGGCCATATTGTTTTGGTGACATCTATCAAATCTTTTGTTTATTATACAGATGGCAAGTTACACGATTGAACAGCACGTTCAAACAATAAAATTTTATTATCTAAATGAGTGTTCGTTAGTGCAAACGTTGCGCGCATTGCGCCCATTTTACAGTAGACGTGGTGGCCCTTCACAGTCTCTTCAACGTTTGGGGGCCAAATTTGAAACGACCGGTTCGTTAAACAATCAGCCAACACCTGTACGTTCAAGGAATGCAAGATCGGCCGAGAACATCGTCGCGGTTCGTGAAAATGTACAGCAGAACCCGAGGCAGTCGATTTCTCGCCGTGCACAAGAACTCGGCCTCTCGCAGACTTTAACTTGGCGAATTTTGCGTCGGGACTTAGGCCTTCAAGATCCAACTAACCCAGGAGCTCAAAGTTCATGACCACAGGCAACGTGGTTTGTTCGCTGAGTGGGCTTCAAGTCGTTTGGAAGAGGACCCCAATTTTGGCCGAAAAATCATCTTTAGCGACGAGCCGCATTTTTGGATGAATGGCTGTGTTAACAAGCAGAATTGCCGTATATGGGACGACACCAACCCACGTGAGGTTTATCAGGTGATAACGCATCCTCAAAAAGTTATCGTTTGGTGTGGATTTTGGGCCGACGGCGTCATTGGTCCGTACTCTTTCGAAAATGACGCGCTGATGAGGCGGTCATCGTCAACGGCGAGCGCTACAGAACGATGATAACCAATTTCTTGTAGCCCAAATGGAACCATATGGACCTAGACGACATGTGATTCCAACAGGACGGCGCTACGTGCCACACAGCGGACCGCAGAGGTGATGTGAATTGGCCACTACATGACCTTAGTGGCCAATTCACATCACCTCTGCGAGAGATAAGCTTACCCTCAAATCGCTCACGATTTGACCCCGCTAGACTTTTTCTTGTGGGGTTTTTTGAAGTCGCGGGTCTATGCAAACAAACCACAATCGACCGATGCCCTAAAGATCAAAGGCAGAAGTTATTGAAAATGGGACCACTCGGATCCGTGCCAGTGTAAAATGCCGAGACGGGCATTTGAACAGTGTCCTATTCCACACTTAATGACACATGTGGGCTTTTCAAAAAAATAATTTTGTTAATACCTCACACACACAGCTTGTTTTATTTTATTTCAACATCTCCCCTCTTGCAAAACATTTAAAAAATGATTACCTTATTATTAAGAATATAATGTTTATCATACACTTCTGAATAATTCCTACAATCAGGATTTGTGCTCAGTACATATTCAACTTCTTTACGGTTTTCAGATATGTGACTCTGAAAAAAAATTAATATTGTCAATTAATACCTAATTTCTTATGTTTACATTACACATTAAATGAAACTAATTTGATGTGTTATATCAGTCTAAAAATTAAGGTTTTAAAAGCTGAAAGGGTTAATTAGGTTACATTAGAATGACGGAAACCTCAAACCAAGTGAAATATAAAAAAATAAGTAATATCCCAGTAACCAACCCGCTTGCCAAGCATACCAACTATGGCACATATCCGCGTATAATTTTCTAGGCAATAAATGCTTATCAATAGAAGCCATTGTCTCGTAAAGAAACTCGTATCTTTGTATTCTTTCGTAATAGCGGGAAAGCAATGAAGAATAAATAACTAAATAAGTTCGAAAACAGATATAATGTGCTGAAATAAATTAATGAATAAATGAATGTTAAGTGCGGAAAAAATGGTTTTCTTCAGTGTCATTAAAATATAAATACTTTATAATAAGTAATAAAAACCTGTATTCTGCAATTATATTTATCTGCTATCTCTGACAGTCCTTTCATTAATGTTTCATCACAGCTGACCGCAAACCTTGGAGTCACAACTGGTGCTACTAGATTGTTCTGAAATAAAAAAGTGTAATAATTTTTATGCATGTTAGCAGCTATGCAGCTCATGTGCGACCAGTATTATTGCGGCCACTACATACTGTGATCGCTGCTATGGCTATAGTTTACCAAAGTATAAAAACACACTTCACTATTCACAAGAACTATTTCAAACTATAGCTCAAAAACTATTAGACATACACACTTGTAATTTTGAATAAGGCCCACTTTAATATCTAGAATTCCAAATTTGAAGGAGGAAAGAGTGACAAAGCAAATTTATGTTGCAGAGGTGAACGGCATAGTAGGGAAGGGTCGCCCTAGGCGAAAGTTTATCGACCAAATTGGTGATATATTAAAAATGGGCCAAATCAAGAGTACCTTTAACCGACGAGCATGTATGCGTAGGTATATGGATGTGGAGGAAGCGAGAGAGCTGTGTCAGGATCGTGCCAAATGGAAGTCCATAATCTCTGCCTACCCCTCTGGGTGACAGGCGTGAGTGTTTATATTATAATTCCAAATTTTAAATGTAAACCTATTACACTTTTTGAGTTATTAAGGTCTGAATAATGCCATCTTTATTACTCACTGACTCACTCGTTCATCAAAAACCTAGACCAGTCGTTTGGGTGACTTGTTCATCAAAAACAAGTCGCCCAAATGACTTAGAAACTTGAAATTTGGCATGAAGGTAAATCATTAGGCATATACAAAGAAAAAATTATGTTCTCACTTTTCAAATAAATGGCAGAATGTTGTAAATTTAACTTAGCACCCATTCAGAACTGAAATGTTTTATTCGACAAAGTTGGCAACCACAAACGTCGTTTGTGCTGAACTTGATCCCCTATTCATTTACATTTTGGTGGAATTTGTCTATGCATATTATGTCTCTATCAACCCTTAAACTACAAATCTATGCTCAAAACGATCCCTAATCATCTGATGAAATCATTTTGGACACCACTGATATTGAGTAACGTCTATTGTTTTGAAATTTCTGAATCTATACAAATAAATAAAATTGAAGTGTCTGTTTATAATGTAAACAGTACAGCTTTCTACTAAATGCAAATGAAAGTTTATACGGTACTTGTAACAAAAATACAAATATTTAAAATATTGGTCTGTCTGTCTGTCTGTTTGTTCTGGCTAATCTACGAAACGGCTGGATCGATTTTGACGGAATTTCACTGGCAGATAGCTGATGTCATAAGGAGTAACTTAAGTAACTTTTATTTTAGAAAAATAATTAGGGTTCTTCGCAAATAAATTAAAACCCCAAATAACACGCGGGCGAAGTCGCGAGGAACAGCTAGTTTTTTATGAGAGAAGAATTCGTAGTACCTACGTATGTACGTGATGTAACGATGATAAACCAGTATTTTACTATGATATTTGAAAAGTGTACGTTGTTAAGATTAGTTAGTCAAATCACTACACACATCAGACATCAGATATAGATCAGGCCATGTAGTCCATTTGACCCTAAGACAGGCACTAGATTTCCTAAATTGTTTAACGCCTGTTACAGTTTATGGACAATGCTAAGCAGTATGATTCCACGGTAGTTTTTATATTACTGCTGTGACTCTTTACCTTTATACCACTTATACGGTGGTATACTTGAAGACTTTACACCAGTCTCCCAGTAATAGCTTAAGTTTTCAGCATAAAGTATACAGCAGGCTTGTCACCACTACCTCTACAGGCCTCAACATTTCTAAAGATAGTTTAGTATCCAGCTGCTTCATCTGTTTTAATGCTAAATTCATCGCTTTCATTATTTATCTATACTACTATGACTACCTACTGAAACATAGATGACAAATTAACTTACTACAAACTTAATTTAATACAAAAAGGGAAAATTTATTAACCTTACATCCCATAACTTTCTGTATGAAAGTTTCAACTTCATTTAATTCATTTTCAGTTTCATTGTAGTAGTTGGCGTCATTCTTGACATTCATGCTTACTTTGCCTACGAGAGCTCTTTGACCGTATTTTATAATACATTCCACTAATTGCAATGTTCCTTCAAGGTGAAGTGTTCCAAAGTAACAAGCAGTTGTAGTACCATTTTTAATCAACCTTTGCTAAAATAAAATATAATGTTATCTTTATTATTTTGTTATAATTCCCAGCACAGATATATTAAATCAATAATCACATAACAAATAATCAATCAAATCAAAATTGGCTTTTAGAGAGCAATTCGAAAGTCAAAAGAGTTTGTGATAATAGCAGAATGTTTCTGATTCATATGATGAGTGAAGAGAATCGGAGACCTTTTTTACTGGTAGAGAGACATTCCATCTTATCTCATAGGTAACAATGCTTCTGAGTTTTGATTCGTAATTGTTAAGGTGTGTATGGGCCACTACATTCACTTACCATTAGGTGAACTGTGCCCTCACTTGCCACACTTACTTCATTAGAAAAAAAGTTCTGGATCTGGGGTTCCGTTCATGAACACTGTATGATGTTATCCACCTCCACATGGGAACAAAAACGGAAAAGTAAAAGGGAAAGGTAATATTTTTTAATAAATTGAAAATAATTGTATTACACAGTATTTCTATTAAAACAATACTAAGTTACCATCGTCAAAATTTTCATTGTGATAAAGCTAAAATTGATATTTGTCCTCTTATGGATATGTTAACAGGATGTATCGGGGTGGCGTAAGAGAATCTATCAGCCCGTTTCGTCCCATGGATATCTTAAGAGGTGACTTTGGGATACGCCAAAAATATCGTATCCCTACTGCCTACGCTATCGCCTTGCAGGGCCAGAACGGGTTGTGTCAAACTCTCACTGATTAAGTATAAGTCTAAAAGTAATCCACCTTTGCCACACATTGCATGGTTACGGGAACACTTTTGCACACATTTGCAGCTCCACTATCTGCCAACAGCCCTTTAGCTGCTCCTCCTCAGGAGAGGATATTTCCTTCTCCTTCTTCTCAGGGAAAACGCACTGTAACACAATGCGCGTTATTTCCATGGCCACAAACCCCATCTAGTCAAGTTCAAAACATGGTCCCCTCGAGTCCCTTATGTGCACGCCATGGGACCAGGAAAAATCTGTATGCATAAGCACCGGTCTTTAAATCAGCATAACAAACAAATCTTAAATTAGAACTGTTACAAGGGCTCTAACTGCACAAATTGTTTCATGAACATCTGTTTGCTATAGGTGTTACAGACAGCCCTTTGTGCAGAGCGTGTATGGAGTGCAGAGAGACTGCAACTCACCTCCTACTAGGGTGCTCTGCAGTGGCAGAGTTGCGAAAATCTAACTATGTAACTATAACATTAACTAAGCACTAGTCTTCTCGACCCCAACGGCAGATCTCGTCTATGATTTTGCTGCCAAACACGTATCTGCTGTGGAAAGTTAGGAGAGCAGTGCGTCGTTATACTAATACTCCTCTCACCTCACGGGCACATCACTGCAGCAGTAGCGATGTGAGCTTGCTAGAGTCGTGGAGTGTAGGGAGTACCATAACACCTCTTTCTCCACGACTCCGTCTTAGCTGCAGTGTACAGGGAAAGACATCCGTCTCATCGCAGTCCGTAAAAGCTTTTAGAAAAATTTACTTCGTAAATATCCGCGTTATAAAATAAAATGATGTGTCTTACCTAGTATGAAGAGCACCTCCCGCCCTCCCTCAATTGCGTGCACTATCCCCGTCACCACTAATCCCAGCACCGCTACTCGCAACACCACTACACTGGGCAAGACACACCATTGACGATAATACGACACGTGTTTCGCCTCTACACGAGGCATCCTCAGGTAATATAGACTCTACAGTGGCTAACCGCTAACTGAGCGGCGAGCCAAAAGAAGTGCCTTTTATACCATGTGCATCCGAAGTGGGATCGCCAAGCTCACTAAGAGTGGACAACTAAGATGTTTTATCTCACGCCATCCACAAAGATTTTTTACACTCTAGTCTGAGCTTTAAAAATCCATTTAAGAATCCTTTAAAACATCCATTTAGTTCGTTGTTTCCAATAACTATGTAAAAGCACATGAACTATTAAATATATACTAACCACAACTTGTTCGTAAATTTTCTTAGCAAAGTTGACATCCACATATTTACTTTCAAGTGGGAATGTGTATTTGTCCAACCATTCAAGTAATGGGCGGTCTAGTCCCAAACCAATATTTGGAAATTGTGGAGCATGTGTATGGCAGTCTACAAACCCAGGAATTAAGAGTTGATTCTGATGAAGGATTACTTTTTTATAACCTGATAATTCATTTGAAGTTTCTCTTGAGTTGTATTCAGCTGTAGAACCTATTTTAGTTATCTGAAATTATAGTTAGCATATTACACAAAGTATTAAAGCTTTACAAGAGCAAAAATTCATTCCAGATGTGTTGTAGGAGCTGAAAAATGATCACAATTCAAATTTTATTATTAATATCTTACACATAGCAAAATGCTCACCTTAGAAAAAAACAGGCAAGATCTAAGGTAGGGCAGATCTGGAATTGCATTACAGCAAATATTCACAAGTTTAAACTGGCCTATGTCCAGCAATGTACTTGTTACAGATTGATGATGATGATGACACATTAAAATACATATTTATGTTTTCTGTTTTAGTTCTAAGTCTTCTTTTAGGATTCCCTGGTTCAGTAAACGATTACTGAAGTATTTCACATCATCAGCATAAAAACAGGCTTTTAAGCATATCATAGAACTCAGATCAGCAAACAAATAGAAGGCAAAAGAGGGTGCGAGTGTCTACTGATCCTTGTGGCACTTCACTAAGAATATCTATGGGTTGTGAACAACATTTCCAACTCTTACTTGAAAGGTTTTTTTATAGGATAGGGTGACAAACGAGCACACAGTCCACCTGATGGTCTATCATTGATAAAGAATCAAAATGCAGATGCATTGTCACCCATGAGGACTAAGATGGAATGTCCCTTTTCGAGTAAAAAGGGTCTCCGGTTCTCTACTCACCATATGAAACAAAGCAGGATTAAGCTGCTATTTTACACTGGTATTCTATAAGAGCATGGTCCTTCCCCGGTCGAGCTGACCCATTCATGCTACAACTATACTACTAATATAGCTGCAGCATGGCTCTACCACATATTACTGGTACTTTTACTCAAATATTTTTTGATCCATTCCAGAAGATTTTCTTGGATTTCCTACTTAACCAGAAAACGTCTGTGTGGCACTTTGTCAAAATGTCTCAAAGTCAAGGTAGTCTGTAGGATTACGATCTACCATTGTTAAGGTGTTTGGCATTATGTATCTACCATAGGCAAGGTAAAATGTTACTGTTATAGCCTATCAAAGGTCCAATGCTCAACATAGGATTTTCTTAAGCACAAATAAATATGGTTATGGCAAATTAATACATAATATTTATATTATTTATTCTGTGGTTATATCAAAAAAATGTTTAGTTAGTACCTATGCAGTTACTATGCTCCGATTTAGGTATGTCTTTCTATAAATATGTTGGTTTTATCACATTTCAAAGCGATTAATTTAAATATTCCACAACACTAACCTTCCCATTTTCAACAGATATAAAACCCTTGAAAACATTCAACTGGTCTAAAGCACTTGAAGAAGCGATAGTGCCAACAAAAACTACTTTTTCTTGTTGTTCTTGAGACATTTTTCCGCGATGTTTAAATTATAAATTGAATTAAAAGTAATATTTACTTGTTGAACAAGTGGCAAAAGTAACTTCGCAGCTTCGCAGCTTGACAGTAATTGGCGATAAGATAATAGAATTCATGTTCAAAGACGGTCTGTAATCATTTCGAAAGGTCAAGGTGACTTAACCAGTTATACTTGTATCACTTTTATAAACATAAATATTTATTTCTGCATATCATAAAAAGTAATTCAATTTTTATTATTATTGTTTTTGTTTTTACGTCATTCTGACAGTCTGATACTATATAAAAAGTACTCTGTGGTCTGACACTGACTAGTGTAGCTGTAGCTATGAGCATTATAACCATATAATATACAGTAATCTATAATTGTATCGTTATAGACAGATATGGAAACGTCTATTTACCTTATAACCTATTTTCTATGCTCAAAGCTTATAACGGATAGATAGTTATACATAATGCTCATAACTATCTATTTCTTATAATGATTCGCAACGCACAGAGTACCTTTGAACTGCTGCAACGTTGCGTTGGCTTGGAATCGTGATACTAATATTATAACATCACGCACTCGCTGCCGTACAAATACAAATGTTATGACGTGTGCGATAAGAACGAAACTGCAGCGGGTCCTATGTTAAAACGTGTAGGTAAGCGAAGCGAAATTAAAAAAAAAAAGTTAATTTCTTTCTTTTTCATTTAGATACTTGTATAATTGTTTCAAATTGGCAATGTGTCTCTAATAAAGCAATTTTAAACCCCGTGCTGTTTTTTATTAAATTCTACATAGTAAATACGGGTTTTTGCCATATATTGTAAAATAAAATTTATTCCCGTAAATGTAAGGATTGCTCCCCTAAAGAAACTGCATTATTAGCCTTGACCTTGTTAAAACGAAATATTGACCTTCTGTCCTTCAACTTTTGAACTTAGTTTTCATAATATTAATTGTGTCTCTCTGAGGAACAAGTGCAATAAATTTTGGGTGTAATATTATTATTTAAAAACTTTGGTTTATTTGTTAATTCCAAGTTTATTTTGAAGCACAAAACACGCATTGTGATATTCATAAAATAAGTCTAAAAACGAACAAATAAACTGTAAATATTTATTTGATTTAGTGATTCAAAATATAGATATGGCTTCGTTTTAGGTTGTAACATAATAAAGAAACAATGTCGCGAAAAAACACAAGTGTTTCGTGGGAGTTTTTCGAAAATACTGATACGAGGGCTGCACTAAAAGTATCGGGAATGGAATATTTCCACTGTTCCTGTCATATTAAAATATTTTTAATTGAAAACTCCTTGGTTTTAAAAATCGAATACCATTTATTTCTTTAAAAAAAGATTCTCGGTCTTTTCACAAGGCTTTGTCAAACTTGTTTAGTCGTTGAGAAAATGGAATTGACTCGAGAAAATTCAAGAGCGATGATTTATTATGACTTTCGAAGTGGTTTAACACAAAAACAGTGTGTTGACCGGATGATTTCTGCATTTGGTGATGAAGCCCCATCCAAAACCACAATTTATCGCTTGTTTGCTGAATTTCAACGTGGACATGTCAAGCTCAGTGATGATCCCCGTCAAGGTCGTCCGAAAACTGCAGTCACCCAAGAAAACGTTGATGCTGTGCGTAAGCTGATTGAGGAAGATCGACATGTGACATACCGCGAAATTGAGGCAACTTTAGACATTGGCATGAGTCAAACACAAATAATCTTGCATGAACAATTAGGTGTAAAAAAGTTTTTTCCCGATGGATACCGCATTCGCTCTGTGAAGAGCAAAAAGCTGCTCGCGTTACTTGGTGCGTCAGAACTCTCGAAAGATTCAACGCGGGATCCCCAAATGCTGTATACAACATCGTATCAGGTGACGAATCCTGGATATACGCGTACGAGCCCGAAACAAAAAAGCAGTCACGAGTTTGGGTGTTCGAAAACGAGTTAAAGCCAACAAAAATTGTTCGTTCACGGAGTGTTGCAAAAAAAAATGGTGGCCACGTTTGTCTCCAAAACCGGCCATGTTACGACTATTCCTCTTGAGAGACAAAGAACGGTTAATGCAGAATGGTATGCTAGCATTTGTTTGCCACAGGTCATTTCTGAACTCCGTAAAGAGAACTGCAACCGCCGCATCATCCTCCATCACGACAATGCGAGTTCTCACACCGCACACAGAACAAAAGAGTTTTTAGAGCAAGAAAACATAGAATTATTAGACCATCCGCCGTACAGCCCCGACGTAAGTCCTAATGATTTGTATACTTTCCCTAAAATAAAGAATAAATTGCGTCGACAGAGATTTTCATCACCTGAAGAACGGCCATTTTGGAGACCCCAACTTCCGAATGCGGTCAAATTTCGCGGAGAATACTTCGAAAAGCAATAAATACATTTTTAAATAGTAATGTTGTGTCACATCATTGATTCCCGAAATTTTCAGTACCGTCCTCGTAATGTAAATAAAAAAGCGCGTTGTAATATTTATAAAAACGAATTTAGTTTTCAGACGACTTCAGGTAATCTGAAACCACATTTACGGCAGCAATATATAGAAGCGTACATACAAGTTTCATTGGAACAGCAAACGATTGCTAGATCTTCGAGACCTGTAAACACTTTGGGTGTCCTTGCGTCAGCAATAAACTTAAAAGATAACTTTTTTAGCCAGTCAAATCCAATCTCCGTGATGCCATCAGCTATACCGCAGTCTCAACACAAACAAGGAAATACTGATGCCTTAATTCCTAGAAAGATGTCAAAAGATCAAAAGTACGAAGGAAAGTTCATTTCAACAACTAAATTAGTATTTAAATCTTAACTGTTTATATCACGAAACGAAAATAATTTTGATGATAACTGTTCTATGACGGTATATTGTGAAGTTGCCGTTGCATGGAAAATAGACAGTTATGAATACAGATAGTTATGATAACGTTATCCGTGGTACCATAACGATACCGTTACGTTATTTAGAAAACATAACGACACACCGCTAGATTAGTGACTATGGAACTATATATAATGTACTCTGTGCCATTGAACATCACAAAACAAGAACCGAGTTTTGGCGGGAACTTGACCGGCGGCTGTTTGCTGCTCAAGAGCAAGCTGACAACAGATGTACATAGTGACCTGCCGAACGTACTTTTTTTCATTATACCTTCAGATAATAGATTTATTTTGAGACATTACAAAAGTTATTTTACCGATTTCGAAAACCAAACTTACGTAGTAACATTATTTAATGTGTGGCAAAGCGTCCTCAACTCCCGGTGCGCGTGCAGAAGTTACAATTCTGCTTGCAGCTAGCGTCTGGGATTAATAAAAATTTGTAGGCTATTATAGCGTAGGTATTTTGGCTTTTGTATGAGAGTGATGAATGATGTTATGTAGTAATATTATTTAATCTTTGACAGAACATTGATCTTCTTCCGGTTCATTCGGGATTAGGATCAGAAGGGCTAGAACCCAGAGCTATAAAGCCAGTTATAAAATACCATTTCCGGTTTAAATTTTAAATTCCCGTTTTTTAGCGGCCTTTTTAGCAGTACATTAAAGAACTTCGAGTATTCAACTCAACTGAATACTCAAGTTAAAGAAGCAAAGCTATCTAGCGGACTAATAGACATCATAATATAAATATTTTTAATAACAGACATCATAATATTAAATATTATTATCTACCTTACCATGTATTGGCGGTGTTTACAGTGGCGATGTAAGAATATCCGTTACCCCATATCCTCCCGTGGGTGTCGTAAGAAACGACAGAGGGATAAGAAACAGGAGATGAGCAGTAGCGTCTTCCTGATAACAACTCAAAATATTAAAAATTGTCAACCCACCTGCCAAGCATGGCAACTATAAACAAATCCCCTCTATGAGACAAACTATAATAATTGGACTTTTATAGGCTGTAATGGAATGAATGGAAGTATAGTATTTATATAATAAGGAAGAATAGTATTTCAGGAATATAATATGCTTTAAATGGAATTAAAAATAGAAGACACGATTAAAATTATGTAGAAAATGCATTGAGCCTCTGTTTGAGCGTGGAAATCGCAACTATTAAAAACTGAAAAGTATAAAAATCTGAAAAGTATAATTATAAAGAACAATGTTTTAAAAAAGGTTGCCAGTTTGTCCGAGTATTCCATTAAATAAAAATTATTTCATGAATGTATGTTCAGATTTCTTTGAAGGTCAGTATTATTAATCTTTAATTTACCATTATTTAAAGTTTCTTTGTCCATTTAACGAAACTTAAGGCCGAAGAACCGACAACCAATAGAAAAGAAAAGTTCTCAAGTGGCAGCCTTGTACCGTTACCCTAGTATCCACACTAGTTGGACGACCAGGTAAGACACGCGCGACACATGGGCAGTCGATAGACGAAGGTGACTTCGGACAATGTTTTGTGGCATTTTTTGGTGCAGGCCATTATTTAACAGTGGACTTGAAACATGTGGCTGTAATGATAATGATGAATGCTTTAAAAATGCCCAGTTTTTCTGTAGAATCTCCATGAAAAAATTGCGATGATTATGTTATGTGAAATGTTTTTTGGGCCAGACGCCTGTTGCTGCTCTTAACTGAAACTATTGTCGGAGATGTTGATGCATATTTGCCATAGGGACAATCGCTTTCTGTAGAACGATTCTATTCAATCAATCTTTTTTGTAACTTGGTAGAAGTTAGTATCGATTAAGTAGAATCTGAAGCTCGCGCAACTTGTTGTCGATATGACTTCTCATAAGAATGGGTTTTCAGATACTAATTTCCAATTTCAAATTTCCAATTAGTAAGTTCAATTTAACGAAGTGCTCAAATTTCGAATCAAGCCCGAATAGGGTGTATTCAAGAAACTGCAGCTAATTGTCTGATATTCCCAATCAGACAAGAAAAAAGTGCACAACTAGTGCGTGTTGCCAGTGATGACTTACGGGGACGGGGACTTCACTGCTGGCCGTATGAGGAATCTGAAAGTTAGTCAGCGTGCGACGAAAAGGACTACGCTCGGAATTTCTCTACGCGATAAAGTAAAAAACGAAGATATACGCAGAAGAACAAGTCTTCTCATAGTTTCTTATATATAATAACTGACATAGCACAGCAGATTAGGGAGCTGAAGTGGCAATGGAAAGGGAAGTCGAATGGAATCGAAGTTTTTGACGATTTCTTTTATCTAGAAAACAAGAATTTCATCAGTCATGTAGGAATGTGTGTTGCCAGTAATGACATATGGATCTGAGACACGATTCTTCATTGCTGGTTGCATGAGAAAGCTCAAGGTCGCACAGCGAGCAATGGAGAGGGCTATGTTATATTTCTCATACATGATAAAATCTTGCATGATAAAAATTAGAATATCCGCAGTAGAAGTACAGTAAATGACATAGCCTAAGGGATCAGTAAGCGGAAGTAGCAACGGGCCAGCCATACAGCTCGAAGAACCGACAACCGATGGGACAGAAAGGTTCTCGAGTGGCAGCCTCGTACTGGTAAGCGAAGTTTAAGGTGGCTCTCCGCTAGATGGAGTGTCAAACATAAAATATGTAGAAAGTCTATGGATGCAGTTGGATCAGGACTGTGCTTTGTGGCATTCCATGTGCCTATGGAGGCAATGATGATGATAATTATTATTATTAAATCATACGTTACCTAATTATTTTTAATTTTATCGTGTTGTGGTTATTCTGTACATTATTTGATACCAAGCCACCTGTGCATGTTCACAACCTTCTTGCCATTTCATAAAATTTCCGGCTCGTGCACTTTGGATCCAAAAGCGCGAGTTAGATAAGGAAGCACGTATTAGTGATTCTTCCAAGTGACTATGGATTCGTCGTGCTTCTTCGATAGCCTATAATTTCAAATAAAATTGAAGATTTATTGCTTTTTCGTAAAAAAGGTCTTATCACTTTATCCTAGTGTAACACTCATTTTTTTTTGTAGTAAAATAGTGTTGAAGTAAAAAAAAGTTTAGGTAAATATCGAATTTGCATTAAAAAATTAAGAGATAGAAGATATGGTGTGATGAAATTTTCGTGCCAAATTACAAACGAAAAAAGGTTTTGTTTAAAACTTTTTTATATCTCTTATAGTTTAAAAGATAGGTAATCATCAAAAACAATTTATTTTAATCAATATTTGGATTGTATGAAGAAATATTTTTTGTGTAGTTTTTCAGATAAAATATAGCCTACAGATTACTCTTTGATTTGGTCTCTATCTGTTACTGAAGTTTTATCACAGTCGGTTCAGCCATTCCGGAGATTAGCCTGGACAGGCAGACAAACGTATTAAAATGGTTTTACATTCATAAAACATAAAATCCATAGAAACAAATAAATAGTTATAAAAGAAATAACGTGCCTTACAATAAATATAAAATTAATTTAAATTTACGATTCTAAGACATACCCTAGCTGTTATAGATTAAAGTGGCCTGTCCAACTTAACGACAATGTAAGCGGTAAACACAAAATACCAAACGTAAAATACCGGCAGCTAAAACGCCTGCCAAGCGTGGCGATGGCAAAACCTTCCTACAATGGGAGAGGCTTACATCCACTAATGAGCTCTTACGGGCTGGTGGATTAGAAGTAAGATTAATAGTGGTTAATTCTCTTCTGCTGCATTTTAAGCTCTGCGACTTTAAAAGTGGCTGTTAAATCATTTTGATCATCCGTTTGTAATCTAATACATAAGTACAATTTGACTTAATCGTATCGCTTGGCGGCCAGATGTGGTATTTTTGGAAATTACTGTCCACTATAAAAGTCCACTGTTTAATATAGGCCTTCCCTATAGATTGCCTCATAAGGGTATTTGTCATAGTTGCCACGCTTGGCAGGCGGGTTGGCAAATGCAGTTTTCTTTAGTTGTTATTAGAAAGACACTGTTGCCCATCACTTGGTTTATTTATTTCCCTCCGCCACCACTTACGTCATCCACAGGAGGATATGGGGATGGTGGATATTCTTATACTGCCACTACACAGTGGATTTTGGAAGTACCAATTAAAAATATTTTTTTCTGCCCACACGAGAGTAATCAATATCATGAAGGATTATTTTAAATGCACCGAGGAAAATGATTGCGTTTGGAAACGCTGTTATTGTCAGTAAGCGATAGAAATATAGAAAGAATACAAACGTGGTTAGATAAGTTCATTGCTGCATTTTGCCGGCCTGATAATAGAAGAGAGTTTGCTTTTAATAACATCCATCTCGGATAAATTATTCGCAAAAAACGAGCGTCTTTTTCCAGCCTAACTAGTTCCCTGTCAGCTATTGACCGAAGCTCCAACAAGTCAACCACCTGAAATGAATAATAAAATGAAATCATCAGATTATTACAATAAAAAATATATAAATCTAATGTCTACCTTCCGCAGGTCATCCATTTTCCTGGCTAAGCTTTCTAGCATTCCTTCAGCTAATCTTAGTGCACTTAATATATTGGTCAGAGAATCATTATCTTCTTCGTAAGCTGTCCAACTTAATGCCTCTGATTCAAATCGCTTTGCTAGATGGTCAACATTTGCACGCAGCCAATACGTCCATAGACCAATAACTAATCTTCGCCTGCTTGGACCTGCTATTAGGCCTTTACTTAACGCCTGTTCTGCAAATTGACTTATCTCATTGGGAGACTCCAACTGAAAACCTGCGTCCAGTATAAGATCCATGCAAAGGGCATAATACCATGTTTTACCCTCTATTGCTGATCGTTTGTAGCTTAACTGTAATGGTAACTTAAGTACGTCTATAGTCTCTTCAATTCGACGCCTAGATAATAAAATATAAAAAAGATCAGGTATAATGTCAATTGAAATATCGTACGCATTGAGAAAACGACTAATGACAAGAGCTCTTAAACCCGAACGGATCGAGGCAGCAAGTTTACCACGTGCTATTCTAGCACGAAAGGATGACATGAAAAATTTCCCAATCGCAAACATCTCATCGGCTTGTATCGGTCGTAATAGTTTTCTGAACGTAAGAACCGCCATTTGCTCTATTTCGTCTGTAATTTCAGCATTTCCACGAACTAGTTCTACTTGAATAGCATTACTGAATGCATCGCATAAATCCACGACGTTGCATTCCACTTTCTGTGTTAAATTTAAAGCACGGAGTGCGGATATCCTTGAAACCTTATTATCTCCTAAAGCAGAAAATAATAAAGTTGTGATATTAAGACAAAATATCGAATCGGATTTCATAATCATGTAGTGCTTCAAGTATTTGCCCCGCTTTAATGTAAAATTTCTAATATCGAAAAAGTCTGAAACTTTGTCAAGACTGAAACCATATATCTTGGTTGCACGCTCTATATGTATTTTTGCAGCTGATAGTTTTCCACTCATTAATAAAGTAGCCGCTCTTAGTGAATATATTCTTCCCAAAAACCTGCGTTTTTCGAAATTAGACAAACATATCACCTGGTTTTCCGAACAAATCTCTTCTGCTTCTTCTAGTTTAGACAAAACACAGTCAAGATTATTGGCCAACAAATTCAAATAACTACATTTTATAAGAAATTCAATTACTTTTACTTTCAAATCTGCTTCTCTGGCATGACTAATAAGTTGTTCATAAATAGTAATATTTAATTCCATGCATGAACATTTTTCAAAATTTGTTTTTGAAACACCTTTTTCAATTTTAAGTTTAAATTTTTTTTTACTATTTGCATCTATATCATCAGTGCTGTCAATAACTCCCAAACGATGCCAATCATTCATAGTGCTAGCTTCGGTAACTGCACGTAACGTATTAAACATTTTTGAATTTTCACCATCAGAAAATTTGTTGGATTTATCCCAAAAACTTAACAACGTTACTCTTTTAGTCGACTTAAAATCTCTATCAAAGTTATCTACATTTTTAGGTTTTATTGAAGTTGAAAGTTGAGAGGTCTTATTTTCAAGCTGCTCTAAACTTGTATTGATTTCGCTTATTGTCGTTTTAAGTTCAAACTGTTCTTCATTTAGGCCTACTGATTTTGACCGTCTTACATTTATAAAGTCGTCGTTTTCTATAGCAGGTGTATTTTGGGCGATGTCTACACTTGCCACATCCAATTCTTCATCTACTTCATATAAATTTTGATAATCATCTATTGCGTTTTGATTCTTATTAGTGAATCTTTGATTTTCATACGATATCACTGGAATGTTTGTAATCGACTGTACTATCATAATTGTGCCTCCACAACTAGGACATTTTTGTTTTGTCTGTTCTAGATAGTTTACTATGCGAGAGTGAAATTCTTTTTTTTGGTTAATGGGTAGAAGATCATAACAGGTTTTTCTTGTATTTTTATTCCGGAATTTCATAACTTTACAAAATGCATATTTAGGGAGGTTTTCATTTTCTTCTGGATCATAATCAAAGGAACATTCACATGTTAGATTTGCAAGGCTAGAAAAACTTGAGGCTGATGCTACTTTTGCAGTTGTCCTTCGGCTAAAACGGTTTCTAACATTTGCACATATCAGGATGCGCATAGCAAATAATCTTTTTATTGCTTTAGCTGTTGTAAGTGGATTGTTCTCATACATTATATTTTCCAGCAGATTTCGTGATAATACATCACCTATTACTGAGGCGATCTTTAATAATAATTGCTGATAGGGTGTCAAAGAATCAATTTGGATCATTATTATAGCGTCAAGATTTTGTACGTTGATATCGGTATTCAATTCCTCTTTCTTTGTGACGATACATACTGCTATCTCATCAGTTGAACTTTCATTTATGAGTTGATCAAGAGTTTGTTGATCTTCTAAATTAACAGCTTGTGGACGTAATAAACAGGGATCAGGAAATTGAAGATCTTCATTTTTAAAATTAATTAACTCACACCTCGGAATTTTTTTTATCTCTAAGGCCCCGTTCGAAAATAAGTGTACGATAAAACTTTCTACTACACCTGGTAGTCCTTTACATTTTGTTTTTAGTGTTTCACATAAATCGTAAGGAACTGCCTCTACATCAAGAATCTGACAGGCTAGCGGAGGTATCCATTTTGAAGTCAGTGCACCTAGAACAATTTTTCTTATACTGTTGTTGATAAACACACTATAGAGCCAACTATGTACACTGTTAATTTTTCCACGTGTTATTGTAAATACAGTATATATTTTAGGTGCATTTAACATGATGGATAAAAACTCCCAGGAAGGAATATCTAAGTTTTGAAGGTCATCTAAAAATATGACTTGAGGTTCAGGAAATGCCATAATTAATTTCTTAAATATGGTTTTGGTTTTTTGACTCCGTATGTTTTCATCTTGGGTGTAAATGCCTTCATGGTAAGCAAAACGCACTTTTATAGTATTGTTTAAATAACATAGGTCTGTACTGTGGGAATTTAGTAACTGTACAATTTTTTCTTCTTTTGAAAATCCAGTAATGGGTTCTTTTAATCCTAACATTTGATCAATTATTTGACCCAACGCTAAATACGGTGTTGCCGAATGAATAGACGAAAGGCTAAGATAACAAGTGCGTAGCCCTTTATTTTTGACATATCGAATTAACCACTCTAGAAGTCTAGATTTTCCTGCGCGAAATTCGCCTATCAATAAAAGTGCATCAAAGTCTCTGAATGGCAAATGATACTCATCTATCCAATTTTTAAAATATTCAATTTCATCGATTCGATCTAAAAGCGGCGGTATCACTGGTATGTTAAATAATTCTTTAACTCTTATTTCTTCCGTGTACTCATAAATTTTCCCAGGATGAATTATACCCTTCAATTTTACGTTTGGTTGTAGAGTGAAACCATTGTTAGACATTTTACTTTTAACAAAAGTTGCTTCGTCGCAAGTTATTTTATTACGGAAGTAGCACATAAACCTTGCGGCTTTATTTACAATAGCTCCGATAACAGTAAACTCTCTACGAAGCGGGTGACCTATTACACCACAGTATACTTGCCCAGTTGTTACGCCGATTGAAACTTCAAGTACACCATCTAGAGCCGATAATGATTTTTTTATTCCATAAGCACATTTTAAAGCTGCTTGAGCTTCAGACTCATGTTTGAATCCGCGAAGGCCAAAAATCACGAGAATCATAATGTCCTTATCGAAAAGAATTATTTTATTGACACACCCCATCGATTTATACACAATTTCGCAAGTAATTTGGTAGGAATTGTTAACTATAGTTAAAAGTCTTGGAAAGGGACATTTTCGAGGTTTCAATGTTATAAATAATACAGAAACTTGTCGCATTTCAGTCAAATATTCCAATGGCTGATGAGCATCAATTTGGGTTAGAACTGGTCTGATCATAAATTTTCGTAATTCTGAACCAATATTTCTTTCTTCAGCTATCAATATTGTTTTGCGAAGACTAAGTGCGTCATTGGTTTTTAGTGATTCCATGTAATTTTTTGTCTTAGTAGTTTGTAGAATAGCTTCTGGTAGGTTTTCGATACCGATAAAAGGCTTTTTTATTTGTCTTATCATATTACCGAAGCCTAAAAATGGTTTGGTTACATCTTTCTCCCGAGGGTCATAAAGAATAGATTTAATTGTGACATGACCATCATCGTGAACAATATGATCATAATTTCTAGAATAACAGTGGCCCCACGCCGTTGGTGTTAATTTTACTTCTCCAGAAACGCAAAGGCTTTCAGCTGTTTTTGCTTCAAGTACTGGTAAACCAAATATAATGTAATTCATATCAATTCCTTTTCCAATAGGAGCAAACATTAGGTTTCCAGCTGAAATTGCTAATTTTACCTTAAGATTGACTTTCACATCAGTTTCATAGGATCCAAAAGAATGTTGGATTATTAAGGCACATGTTATAGCAGTGTGTATTGTGTGATTAAGGTAGGTGCGGTTATTTGTCTTCCAAAGTGCAAGAAATGCGTCGCCAGCAAATTTTAAGATGTCGCCTCCATGAGTGTAGATCACTTCAATGAGCGAACCTAAATATGTATTTAATGTTACCGTCAAACGGTATGTACCACCTCTGCCAGTATTCGAGTAACGTTCGGATAATGCTGTATATCCAGAAACGTCTGCCATTAAAAGGACACCGACGAATCTTTTTGGCTCTGCTTTTTCTTCAAATCTGAAATGAAAAAAATAAATATTCGTACTCGTTTGTAACATAAATTTTTTACATTAATTGTGTACAGGTAACTTTAATGACAAGAATTTAAACAATGGCGATTTAGCTTCATAAATGCATAATATTTCGCTTCCGTATCGTTAATTTTCAAATAAATTACTGTTTTATACTTATATATATATATATATATATATATATATATATATATATATATATCTCTATATATATATATATATATATATATATATATATATATATATCTTTCGATAAAACTATTAAATATTTTTTTATAGAAGAATTAAAACTAATAAATTATTTGATTGGAAAAAAATGTGAATATTAAACATAACACATTCATACTTTTCTAACAGAAGTATTTCGTCAGGAACCATGGTAGCTAAAATGAGTGTCTGTTTTCTTGAGAGATGTACTTCTATGTCTTGGTCGATTTGGTCAGCAGATATGCTTTTTCGACCAAAAATTTCTTCCGTCAAATTTTTTAGGTTGTTGTCCTTCGGTTCATCCTCGTCGGTGGTCGATTCTTCTGTTAAATCACTATCTATGTGGGTGATTATTTTAGAGTAAGCCCGCCATTTTTCAGTATTGATTAAAGTGTTCAAGGAGGTTTTTCTTGACTGTAATCTTTGTTTCCGGAGGTTCATGGTTGTTATTATTGAAAAATCTACTCCAAAATTTTGATGTTTGTCCTAAAAATCATGAAACACTGTTTAACCTAATTTGGACGTTAAAATCTATGAGGCTATGTTCGCATTTCGCATTCAGTTTAAGCTATTTTGTTATTTTAAATGAGAGCAACAAGCTAATTCGTAATTCAACTCATTATGAGCAGTATTCCAGTGGCCTGCAGCCCATGGAAACTATGAGTTTCAAAGAAATAAAGAACACGTATAACTATAGTGTATTGTTTATGTTGACTGTTTCACAACCTATAATTTAATAGCTCTCTTATTTACACATCACTTAATATGTATTACACACCTTCGTACGAAACTACATTTCCCTGAGATAGTACACCACCATTTTATGTTTGGCATCAGATGGAGGGTTACCTTCCAGGCAAACTATTAAGCGGAATAAGACTTTAATGCTACTTGGTAAATAAAATTAATAATTTGCCGTGTGCTGGCAGCGTAAGAGTATCTATCACACTATTTCGTCCCGCGGGTGTTAGGACAAGTGATTATAGAAAAAGTTATAAAGATTTTTATGGCTTCCGATAGATAGATATAGATATAGAATACCCAGACCGGCGACGGGGAGTATAAGTAGTGACACGAAAGTCTAGCGGAGACCGTTATAAGTCGCGCTGATTGGCTGGTGCGTATCGTTCGCTCGCGCTGATTGGCTCTCCAGTCGCATCCTAGCAATTCAATATGTGTGCGTCCCTGCCGCATTTCGTTCAGTACTACACTTATATGCCGCGACTTGTAGCGACAAAGTTACAGAAAGTCTGGTTCGACGATCGTCAATCCGCCTGCCAAACGTGATGTTAAGGCATATTTTTCCTATTATGGTAGAGGTTCATATCCAGCTATGGACTTTAAGAAGTGATGGAGAAGAAGAAGTAAATAAAACGATTAGAGGCGTTTTAATATGTCTGTATTTGTCATTTTATATTTCACGTATACATAATACTTTTATAGTTATCATTTTTATGAGTTTATAAAGATATGACTATAAAGACCCCAAGTCTAGCCTTTACAGGTCGATCATAATGAAGAAGAAGATTGAAATAATATATGAAATAAATATTAAAAGAAATATATGTAATAGCATCCATATACACATGTGTAGCTCATAGAACTCGGTTCCAATGCTTAGCAAAAGCTGAAATTTGTGCACGACATAAAATTTACTCCTTGAGTGACGAAAATGTTTGTCGATCAGGCCGATGATAATGAAGAAGAATATTGAGATAATATATGAAAACGACTGTAATAGTACACGTATATACACATGTAGCTCATCGGTAAGTCTTGGTTGTTAGAATTTAGAACTAGGTTCGAATCTTAGCAAAAGCTAAAATTTGTGTACGACATAAAATTTCTTGTTTGAGTATATTTGTGGTGAGGCACAAATGAAAATGAACGAAGCTTATAATGAAACGAAGTAAATAAAATAAGCTCCATACTAGCACACAGAACGTCGGCTGCTCCCGGGTTAAGCACCTTGCCATTAGGGAGATCTTCCCTCTTCTTTTCACGGCCAAACGTTCTACGTGTCTTTGATATCTAATTTTTCCCTGATCTTATTGCATATTTTCATCGGAAATGAAAAGATGAAATGATTTGGGAAACTTTTGAAATTGTTATCTAATGTCATTGTTAGTAGCCATTTTTATCCTACTATCTGTTTGATGGGCCATAATTTTCGTAAATAATCAGAGCAAGAATTTATAGTATGAATAAATAATCAAAAATAAATAAATAAAAATGTTTTATTTCAGTAAATCTTTTTTACAATGATTTGCCGAGGCCTCCCAGAAAGTAATCCTAAGATACATGTGTTGGGAGGGCCTCGCTCTTCCTATGCAATCATAACACTTCGATTTACATTATAATATCAAAATAGCTAAATTTGATTTCATAGAACAGAGTTACATAATTAATAGAAAGAAAGAAGTTCAGGAGAAATGTATACCTGAGTAGTTGAATCAAAATGTGTGTGTGTGTGTGTGTGTTTGTGTGTGTGTGTGTGTTTGTGTGCGTGTGCGTGTGCGTGTGCGTGTGTGTGTGTGTGTCTCTGTGTGTGTATGTGAGTGAATGTTTTTGTTTATGTGTATGTGCACGTATGTGAATGGTTGTGTATATGTGCAAGTATATGAATGTGTCTCACCTACTGATTTGTGTTGTGTATGTGTGTTATTTACAGCAGGTTCAACTCTTTCTTACCAAAATGTCTTCCATGTCATCATAATAAAGAGTGGAGAGCCATTCGGTCAGAGTTTTTCTACACTCAAACATTTGCATGGGGTAAATCTTAAGTCATTAATTGACCTTTTTATATGCATGAGGGGCTTGAGCTATATTTTGTCGTTTGGCAAAACTGTACGTGCAGGGTGTGAGGGAGCCACGATATCGCACCGTCTGTTTTTTTTAGGTGTAGGCTCTCTACATTTTATAAAGTAAATGAGAAGTAAACACCGGTTGTCACAGAGTCACTCAGACCAGTGCAATCAGACAAATATAGAGGCAACCACTATTTCTCTGTCTTAAGTGACGGTTATGCGTTGAGATCGAATGTATCAGAGACGCGGGAACAGTCACCAATCTGTTTTTTTGTACAAATATTGACCTGGATCTAATTCAAACCTAGGACCACAGGCGTAGCGTAGAAATAGTGAAATGATTCGATAACTAGGCGGTTTTAAATTTATAAACATTTTATACCAACCATCTTTTGAAAGTACTTTGAAACCTTAGTACTGCATTTGTAGGTATCAGAAAAGCGCAATGTTTCACCGTAGTCACGTGTTTTTGAGGCGTTGAATTTTACAAAATTGGCATCGCCCCATTCGGACACTTCCTGTATATGTAGTATGTGATTCACACGCTCAACTATAGCTTCTCTTTTGGATTGGATTTGATCTCGACTGGGCCGAGCACTCGGTATCTCTCCACAACTGCTGTCGTCTATATAGATACCGCGCATAAACAAATCAATAATATACAGCTGGAAGAGAGTTGCGGAGAGAACGGACCCGTGAGTAACAAGTTAGTCACTACAGGATCGGATGAGCAGCAATCGATGACGACTCTGAAAGACCGTTCACTCAGAAAGTTTTCCACCCAGTCAATCAGGCCAGTACGCCAAACTCTGTCAACGGTCTTTGAGGCATCAATTGAAACAGCAAGTGCTTCTCCACTATTCTCGAAATGTACGTCGCATACGCTAGAAGGTCCGCAACTGACCGACTTCGGCAAAACTCTCTTCTCTTCATTCTCTTCAAGGTATGCCCTAAGGTGCAATGCTGTCAGAGGTTTGGAGAATATTTTGGAAATGCTTAATCACCTAACTCTTTAAGTTAGAAGACGTGTATTTTTATTAGATAGAATTAGAATATTGAATAGATATTAGAAGAGTTTATTAACCAACTTCAAAAACAGGTTCTATATTTGACGTGTATGTTTTTTCATGTATGGTTACCGATTTCTCGTTACCATCTGAACGAATTTAAAAATGATTAGGCTATACCTTATTCTATATATATTATAGCTCCCATTTAAGTTTGAAACATAATGTATTTTGCCCAATTTTAATTTTATTGTATTTCACTCCCAAGGATGGGAAAATAGGGCATGAAGTTTTCATTGCAACTTTTTAGATGGCATTCCAGTTATTATCTTGAGCTTATATTTTTATAGAATAGGAACAAACGAGAATGCGGCTCATCTGATGGTAAGTGTTCACCGCCACCCATGAACAACTGCAACATCAGGGGAATTATAAGTGCGCTGCCGAATTTTGAAAAAGCTATAAATAAATATTGCTTAATCCAATCAAAATAAAAAAAAAATTAAACTTTGAAAAGTAAAGGTAAAAATTTTAACTTACTGGTGGAGCGTTTATTGTGCGTATTTAAGGTAACTCATACAACTTCGATGATTGGGCACAATATAGTATTATCGAATTAAATCTCGACGTTAAATTGTATCTCACAGTGTAGCGTGTAAGTATATCCACTACCCCATATTGTCCCGTGAGTGTCGTTACAGGTGACAGAAGGAAACAAACCAGAAGATGGGCGGCAGCATCATCCTAATAACGACAAAAAATAAAATAAAATCTGCGGTTGTCAACCCGCTCGGCAAGCGTTTCAACTATGGCAAATATCCCTCCTATCAGCCAATACATAGGGTAGATGTAGACCTCCCCCATAGATTCAGTAGATAGTTCAGCAGTAGAATTTAATAAGCTCTAATGGTAACGGTTAATTTGATAATATCGATCCACTAACTTATAATTTGGCTCAACACTTGGCCAAATACTGTCACTCCTGACAGGACACACAAGAGAACACAAAAGATTCATACCATTTTGTCAGTGAGATAAAAGACCCAGATACATCTTGCCGATTGTAAATTTACAGTCTGTGGCGGCGCTGTCGTCGCATCGCAAATAAAAAAGACATCGAAGCCTAAATCGTGTTATTAGAGCTCCGAAATAAAAGCAGTATACCTATATAGAATAGCTCCGAACTACCACTCGGAGCGTTGGCCACTTCCCGGGCAGAACACCTTGCCCGGCGGGATATATCCCCTTTTCCTTTCACCCGTCATAGTGGTGACCAACTGACGTTATATGAACACGCAACCAACAACTTTCGGAAACTACAACTTCAAACCTTCGTCATCGTCCTTAAGTACCCCATTCATTCGCTCTCGAGCAGACATTGTCTGCAGTCTTCACATTCTGCAAGCCATCTAGCTTTACAAAGGTTCATCGCAGCACTGGAATAATAATGCTTCCTGTACCTTCAAGCGACTCTCTGCGTTACAGTTTTCGGCACACCTCTGAGCCTTACTGCTCGTCCTTGCTTCACGGCACTCTCACTAATTACTTGCCTTCTTCGTGATTTCGTGATGGGGGGTGATGTGGCGTCGCGCCACAAGCGAAAAACACATCGAAGCCTAAATCGCGCTATCAAAGTTCCGAAGTAAAAGCAGTATATACTCGTGTAGAATAGCTCCAAACTAGCGAGCGACCAACGCTCCGAGTGGTAGTTTGGGCTGAGCACCTTTCCGGCGGGAAATCTCCCGTTTTGCTTTCACCGCCAAAAGTCTGTTTTGATGCTTAGTCACTATTTACATATTTTACAAACTATTTATTGAAAACTGCATCTCAATTGCAACTAGGAAGCTAGAAAAGAACAACATTTCCATACAATCTACCGTATTACTCAAACACTGACATGATTGCCGACAAACTGGCATACAGTTTGGCAAAGTTTGAAAGTTAAATAATGTAACACTCTTTCTATGAATAAATAAATAAAAAATATGACACGCTATATTATAACAAATAAAACTTTGAGGAGAAAGCCCTTCTTACTGCTCCTGTAAATCCAAGATTCTGTTAGCGGTACGTTGACGATACTTTCTCATTTTATTATCAGATAAAATAACTGTATTTTTACTTTAGCTTTCCTAAATATTTTAGTCTTTTGGAAGCCTAATATTACCAAGTCATACTGTATATAGGAAAAAACTCTATGTCAACATTGCCATCATAGTAATACATACATACATACATAAACATGGCCGTGGTTTGGTCATGTAGAAAGAATGAACGAGGAAAGAGTGACAAAGCAAATTTATGTGGCAGAAGTGAACGGCAGGGTCGGGAAGGGACGCCCTAGACGAAGGTTTATCGACCAAATCGGCGATACATTAAAAATGGGCCAGATTAGGAGTACCCTTAACCGACGAGCGTGTATGCGTAGATATATGGATATAAAAGAGGCGAGAGAGGTGTGTCAGGATCGCGCCAAATGGAAGTCCGTAGTCTCTGCCTACCCCTCTGGGTGACAGGCGTGAGTGTTTATGTATGTATTATGTAGTAATCTAATGTGGAAAAAAATGTTTCAGAGAACACAAGGAATCTGTGACAGTTAAAACATGGCTGCCGACTTCTTTCACGTCAAGCAAGTATTGTAAAACAACAAGCCTCGCCTCAGACCCCGTGTCTACGCCACAGTGATCTACAATAATTTTTTCAAAAATTTTATTGAGCGTTGGTAGTACAGAAATAGGTCTAAAATTTGTGGGGTCCAATGTATTACCAGATTTAAATAATAATTTAATATATTTTATTAAATCAGGAAACACACAAGATTCGATACTAGTATTGAAAATAATGTCATGTTAGGGTGCGATTGCATCTACGCTATAACATTAACGGAAATCCCCCATAAATCTGCTGTTTACTTAGCATGAATAGTTTGGAAATATTTTACACTATGTCCTGATATTATTTTATGAAATGTAAATAATTTTTTACAGACATTTTGTTTGAGTAATGACTAGGCGACAATAGGGGAGAAATTCAGTGACTTTGTAGTCAAGATCGGAATGTCGTTAAAATATTGTTCAAAAGCCGTTGCAACATCTTGATCTGATTGATTGAGTTGTGACACTGCTGTACTACCATATGTTAGAGGAGTCACAGAATAGATTAGCTACATCTTAAAGCGAGGTTTCATAAAAATATACTACAAGCCGCTAAAACGGCAAAGAAGATAAGTCAGTTTTTACCATCCCTTAAGTGTAACATCCTTTTACAAGATTAATTGCAATTTTAAGTGCTGATTTAACACGTGCTGGGTTGTGATGGGAATAAAAATATTCCGAGTCTGTAGAAAAAAAATAAAAAACGTTACAAAAATTCAGTTATTGGCTTTTTCTGTCAAGAAATTCTCAGGAGCCGTCCGGAGTCAGGAAGTGGACAGTGTTTCACCCCCGTGCCCCAAAAAACACGTAGAGCTGTCCGTCCTACGCTTGAGCTATCCGGTCGCTTTGGATTACCGTCCTATCGGACTATGAGAGTGAGGGAAGTGCACTCGGGCACTAAGTATAATCTTGTCCTGGGCAGATGTTTAGTGAGACTGGTTGCCGTGACTAAAATTCGGTCTAAAGGACATTATTACAAAATATAAACTGCATTTTCGTACCAAATTATTCAGTTTTTTTTGTGGTAGCGTTACGCGGGCACGGAAATGTCTGGACGGATTCTGATAAAATTTGAATTAGAATTTGGTTATGTCGTAAATTTTATAACAAATGCTAATTAAGTTTAATTTACGGCCAGGGAACTTTTATAGCACTACAATAACAAATAAATATATTAACTTTATTTGATATATTGAAATAAATTTAACACTTCATTGACTAACGTTGTGATAATATTATTTTCTTTTGTTTTCGATTAATTCTATACTTTACTAGTGAAATATCACATTAGTAGTTTATTTTTAACCATAAACACATAAATTACCGTAAATGCCATCACGAACAAACCAGTTAAATATGTTACACTGTGTTAATGGAATACCACAATAGAATAAAACAGGCCTGGATTGGATTGAACACAGTCTCGTGATGATCATTGTCGCAACCACACTTCGTAAATAATGCGCTATTTTATATATAAAATAAAATTATATTTTTTAACTGCGCTAAAAATATGAATCACAGAGATAATTATTTTCTTGATAAAATTCTAGACATAATTAGCGAAGAAGGATCTAGTGATGTACCTCTCATTCAGTTTAAACATCCCAAGGAGTTGGAGGTAGGTTGGATTTTTTATATAAAGTCAAATTGATTTACCTACTCAGTCTCAGTCTTTAGTAGGAGTAATAATTTCTTTAAACGTTAATATTTTTTCCCTTTTCACATATAGCATGACTTTATTAACTTCCTTCTGCGTAGCATTGAAAGGAAGTTAATGGTTTTAGCTGGCAGTCTGTTAGTCTGTATGCCGACACGATAACTTCCGTTCCACTGGACCGATTGACTTTAAATTTGGTATGTGGATACCTTGAGGTAGTAGCTCGGTCGAGTTTGAATTTGGGTCCTGTAGGTCAAAGGGTACCAGAGGTATGGGATTCACGCAGAAGGAAGTTGTTTTTCTTGAATTTACATTCAACTCGTTGGTATTTATATTACTACAAGTTCATAATTTGTACCTGCTTCATACCAGGCTATAAATAAACATTTTACATCACCAGGCACTTTTGGACTTGGATGTGTCTAATGGAGTGGACGATAAAGAGTTAGCGCGATGCGTTCGGAAAATATTGCAGTATAGCGTGAAGACCAACAAGGCTACCTTCAGGAACCAACTATACGGAGCTACAGATCCATATGGGCTATCGGGCGCCTGGATTGCTGAAGCATTTAACACCAGCCAGTATGTATTTATTTGTAAGGTACGACATAGGTATGTAGTGATTTTTAATTTCTTTTAAAGTGCCGTTAGCACGAAATGGAGCCTAGTAAAAAAAAAAAAATTTAGAGATGTGGTAGCTCAGGGACTTAGCTCTCGTTCTCTCACAGTACGCAAGCAACCCCGGGTTCAATCCCCGCTGGCACCAATGAAATTGTTAATGGCAATTTCAAGTGCCGATTTACCACGTGCTCGACGGTAAAGCGAAACATCACAACATACATACATATATATATAATAACATACGTAACATGAGGAAACCTGCATGTCTAAGAAATAAAAAGTAAATAAAAAGAAATATTACGAAGACATGTGAAGTCCGCCAACACGCATTGGGGCAGACACTGCCCTAAAAATCCTCTCAGAAGTGCAAGGACGCATGTGCCCAGTTGTGGGACGTATATGTAGAGTGTAACTTTACTTTTCAAGTCTTTATTGTGATTTTCTGCCGACTTCTAAAAAGGAGACTGTACTCAATTCGACTGTATGTTTTTTTATGTGTGTTACCTCATAACTTTTTACTGGATGAACCGATTTCGATGTTTCTTTTTTTATTTGAAAGCTGGTACTTCTCGTGTGGTCCCATATTGATCAAGGTCAGACCAATAGTTTTTGAGTTATTCTTAATAACTTATATTGAAGTCGGATGTACAACATTTTTAATTTTAAATTATAAATTATTATTATGTAGATAGTAATCCTGTAGAATTCGAAACGATGTTCTTTTGTTTTTATTTGAAGCAAAAATTATCTTTTCAAGGGACACAAGCACAACATACTCCCTGTTGTAACTATAATATGCAGACGTGTTTTGATTTCAACAACGCGTAAACACTGTGCATTGCATATTAAGTTCGTCTTGGGTGAACGACCTCAATAAAACGGCTGTTCTCTAGCTACAACATTATCTTTATTTATATATAAGATTTATTTGTTTTGAAAATAACATGTTGTTTTAAGTAGCTGGTAATGCCCATTATTTTTCATCATAATTTTCCAAATTGTGAAGATTTTTTACGTAATGCGGCTTTTTCAATGTCACCGATATAGAAAATACCGTTTTGCTTTTGTGTATAGCAGGTTCCATAAGTTATATATTACATTTCTAATAAACGGTACCTAAACGGGAAAATCTACTTCAGTTTATCACGCAATGGGATTGCAGATCACTCAAGAATTAAGCAGGAAAAGGCTACAATCTTCGTAAGAGACCCTGACCGTTTCAAAGAGCCAATTTACTAAGAAAACCGATTGCGACAGAGTTGTTTCTGTGGTACTGAGGGTTTTATGTGAAATTTAATACTTATAGATCACTTTTTTCTTTAGATATATATATATATAATATATATAAATTTTATTACACTTTGTACATCGGTATTGAAACACGTTGAGTTCCAACGATGATGACGTCCTAGGCTCAAGCTAATCTGACACTATTCTGATCATAGAATACGTAATAATTCTATGATTCTGATAATATTCTGGATATATATATATATGTATTATGAAGTCTGGCACTTGGCCCATTAGAATGACTATCCACCAATTTAAGAATGTCCTTTAGATTAAGAAGTTATTTAATTCTGAATTACCCGGTATTGGTACGCTGGGGGCGTCGAGCAAAAGTATGGTGGTCTTGATTTCCACAAAAAAGTGATAAACCGATTTCGTCTTCACGAATCATCTCAAACGTTTCAAAAATTTCCAAACTCCCGAAGAAGCCAGCCTCCGAAGAGATTTTGGTACGATTTTTTTTTATAGGAGACGGGGCAAACGAGCATGCGGCTCACCTGATGGTAAGTGACTACCGCCGCCCATGAACAACTGCAACACCAGGGAGGGAATTGCAGATGCGTTGCCGGCCTTTTAAAAAGGAGTACGCTCTTTTCTTGAAGGTCCCTAAGTCGTATCGGTCCGGAAAAATCGCTGATGGTAATCGATTCCACAAGGAAGTCGTGCGAGGTCGTGGTGGACCGCCAATCATCCAGATGGTGTGGATGGTATCGGGAGTTCTGCCGCGATGTGCGTTCGTGAAATTTGGCGGCTGGGATTAATCCGAACAATTCCTCAGAGCACTCCTCATGGTAGATGCGAAAGAAAATGCAAAGGGATGCAACATCTCTTCGCAGTGCCAATGAATCGAGCCGATCGGAAAGGGCTCGGTCGTCGACGATTCGAGCCGCTCTGCGCTGGATGCGGTCAAGTGGAAGGAGCACGTGGATTGTTACCTCGCATACGATCATACGAGTACCCTTTGTCAGATTATAAGAAGTATTACTTGCTATTATGGCTAGAGTATGTGCCCTTGATCCAGACGCTATCTGGATAGTGCTATGGTCTTAATCCATCTGCAATAAAATAGTTTTCTAAAAGTGAAAGAATAATGTATAGGCCAGTTCAAAGTTCTTATTGCATTAATTCATTCATTACAGCGTTTCAAAAGTCTACTCCGGAACACGGACCTCCCTCATAGATTACCTTGCTATATTAGCCAGGCTTGGCAGGTGGGTTGGCATCCGCAGTTATTATTTTCTGTTGTTATCAGAAAGATTTTGCTGCCACCCTCTTATGACACCCGCAGGATGGTAGGTGGTGGATTCCCTTACGATACCAGTACATGGCACAAAGTTCTTAATGTTCTGTCTTTATTTTTCAGGTATACATTTGAAGTAGCGCCAGCATTCACTATCGTTGAGTTAAAAATCCTCAATCATATCTTGCAGCTCTTTGGCATACCTGATGGGGATGGTATCTTTAGCCCCGGTGGTTCAGTCTCTATGCTTTACGCGCTTGTTGCTGCACGATATAAGGCTTTTCCTGAAGTCAAGAGTAAGGGCTTGAGGAATCTTCCGGAATTAGTAATTTTTACTTCTGAAGATGTGAGATTTTTATTTTTAATTACTTAAGTTTTGTTTTAACAGTATTTTAGAACTTTATGTGTATAATGAATTATTGTATTTACGCGAGCATTACACATTTTATGAAACTAGTTTTGGTACTGATTTTATTGCGTTTAATTATCATAGTTTTAAGTTCCCGACGTTTTGAGTACATCGCAGCACCCATGGCCACGGGGGAGTGACAAACGAGCACACAGTCCACAACACACAGTCCACACATTTATCCTCAATAAAGAATCAAAGTGTAGATGCGTCGTCACCCGTGAGGACTAAGATGGAATGCCTCTTTTCCAGTAAAAAGGGTCTCCGGTTCTCTACACTCACCATACGAAACACAGCAGCGTTAAGCTGCTATTTTACGCTGGTATTCTGTGAGAGCGTGGTCGTGCACCGGTCGACCGACCCATACGTGCTACAACTATACTACTAATATAGCTGCAGCGTGGCTCTACCACGTATAAAATGTGCAGATGAGCAATGTACTAGGCAGTAGGACTCGTTTTCTGTCCAGGTGTCCGTCTGGTGGTAGGTACCACCAACTTACCTATTACTGCCAACAAATAATAGTGCATGTTATGTTTCGGTGTGAAGGGTACAGAGAACCAGTGAGAGAGAGAGAGAGAGAGAGAGAGAGAGAGAGAGAGAGAGAGAGAGAGACATTATAATTACAGTCTGCTAGGCATTGTATCTTAGTCCTCAAAAGTGACAACGCATCCGTAGCCTTCTTTGTTTGAAGTAACCTGCAGTTCTCCATGGATTTCATGCAGTAGCCACTTACCATCGGTGAAATGTAGGTTCGTTTGTCATTTCAGATTTATAAAAAAAAATATCATCCATAAATTTTATTATAATATTAATATTTGTCATTGTATCGTGCGGGTTTTTGCTGCAATGAGCTAACCACAGCCGCAAGCTACCGTCATGGTCTCAGTGTAAAGCTGTAAAGCAATACCTTTGTAAAACATTACCTTTCAAACCATCTGTTTTTTGGAATATTACTTTATTTACATACCTATACAAACATGCATTTAGCATATCTAGTTGTAAGAGGCGGTTAAGTTAGATATCTCAATCCATCGTTAACGAACGATCAAGCTATAGGTGACAACAACAGTTAATGTATTATAGCTGGAACTTCAGTTTTTATTGATACAAAAGGGTAATAGTTGTTGATTTAAAAGTAGAAATCAGTCGGTGGAAGGGGGAATATATTAACTTTTTGACACTGGACATTTTTTCGAAGACCGCTGGATCTTTCTCGTTGTAGGGAAGACTTGCTATTATCGTCACAATACTCCCCGTCGTTACTCGGGATATTTAAGTCTGGCATATACAAGGTGGCTATACCGCCATCAGTGGGAAAATACCATTATCTCTTACGACACCCACGGGACAAAATACGCTGATGGATTCTCCTACGCCGCCATCACAAATCAATATTTGCATCACGATGCAGCGATGCTAATAAGCATGAAAAAATTACAACACAAAAAGTTGTAATTTGCACAGCATTGTTAGTATATTTACCTTGTAGTGGCGGTTTAAGAATATGCACCAGTTCATATAGTATCATGGATGTGAAAGAGGGAAACTGAAACAGGAGATTGGCAGAATCATTTTCCTGAAAACAATGCAAAATTATAAAAAACTGTGGCTAAATACTCTCTATGAGGTAATCTTTGGTAGAGGTCGATGTTAAGCTGCGACTTGATTAGGTTGTAATGGATTCTAGTTTTACGTACATATATCAGTATTTTGCATACAAAAACCGTTGCGTAGAAGTTACCTTTGTTTAATATATTTTTATATAATTTACAGAGTCACTATTCAATCATGAAAGGCGCCCATTGGCTGGGCTTCGGAACTGACAGCGTCAGACAGATCAAAACGAATGGACTAGGTCAGATGCTTGTAGACAAACTCGACGCTACTATACAGATGGAAAAAGATCATGGTAGACAGCCCGTTTTGGTGAACGCGACTGCAGGAACCACTGTTCTTGGTGCTATAGATAACTTAGAAGATGTTGCAGACGTGTGCGAAAAACATGGCGTATGGATGCATGTCGATGTACGAGTATATTTTATCATTATTTGAAAATTTCGAAAAGATACCTTAGTTATATTTTTGAGTTTACATTTATGTTCTAGCGAATAATTTGCAGATCCGCAGATGTTTATTTGATAAATTTTAGCAATGTTTCGAAAAATGTATCTATTTTTCTTTAATATTGAACTTTTACAATAGGAGATTTATGAGTGGTTAAACCCATTGAGTTATATGTACTACGTACTAGAGAAGCTATTCCAAACAAAAACTCTGTGCTACTCTATGTCTTCGCGCATGTGCGGGAGAATAGAGTCGTGCATGCGCGAATACTTTAATTTAATATAAAATAAGATATTTATATAAAATATACATAAGAATTTAATATAAAATACTCTTATTTTAATCTAAACAAGCACATAATAAAATGTAATAATAATTATCTTATGGAATTCACAAATCTTCAATTTATACAGTGTATGGATTGCAGTATAGTTCAGTTGAACATAGTCAATGTTCGGAATGCGAAATCTAGTGCGTAGTACATATACCTATATATCAATGGTTAAACCACACATAAATCTCTTTTCTAAATCCATATATATATTGTGCCTTGTCTGTCGTAAGAACATTCGAAAGTATTTATTATTCAATGTCATCTAAACACTGCATATTAGGTTCGATAGAAGAAAAATTATCAATATATTATTAATAAAAAACAAAACCAAAAAATTTAATATAATTTTATTTACAGGCCTGTTGGGGCGGTAGTTTAATATTGTCACGTAAATATAGACATAGATTAAAAGGTATTGAAAGGTAAGATAATTTTTATTACTAAAACTCAGACTCACAAGGAGAGAAAGATGGAGCTGTGCGGACCGAGCCAAAACCATGCCAGTTATTTATATTTGAATAATTTATATTTGAATAAGCCGCTCACGTACATATATGAACCTAAAATCATTTGCAACCATCAACATGGTTTTAGGTGCATATGTGTGCGTCCAGCAGTGAACTTTTACAGACTGATAAAGAAAGTACGTAGGTCACTCAATAAGTTTTGAGATATACAAAAAGTATTCTAGATACTATTAATATTCATTTTACATCTTTTTAAAATATTCTGCATCATGCACTATACAAAGTTTCATTCGCCTAAACCAACTCTGAAAAAACTTTTGCCAGTCTTGATCTGACAGGTCGGAAATCACTTCTTCGTAGGCAGCCTCGGCTTCTTCGGCGCTTGAAAAAACTTGCCTTTTATTTTTTCTTTGACTCTTGGGTACAAAAGGAAATCACAAGGAGGTAAGTCAGGGCTGTAGGGTGGGTGACTTAGAGTTTCAACACCAGATTCTTCAATAAATGCTTTTGTTCTAAGGGAGGTATGTGAAGAGGCGTTATCGTAATGCAGCATGATTCCCCGAAGCCCGGTCTTTGGTCTTCTCTCCCGCGCAGTTTGAAAAGTTTTGGATAATGCATCTGTAAGTACACAATTCAGAGTTAACTGACCTACAATTTTCCAGCATTGACGTCGACAAATGTTCACTCCGCGAAAAAACTAGCCACCATTTTTTTGCCGACGGTGCGAGGTCTTTGCAGTTTTGTCGGTAACTGTCTTTCTGAGTAGACCCATACCGATGATTTCCTTTTATTTTCCGGATCATATTAATAGATCCTCGTCTCGTCACCAGTAACGATTTCTGAAACACGCTTAGATGCCCCGTTTTCAAAACGTAAACGAATTTCATGCCACCAATCCACACGAGTCTGTTTTTCGCTTTCGGAGAGCAAACGAGGAATCCATCGACAACAAAGCTTCCTTACTCCAAGATGTTGATGTAGGATGGTATGAATGCTCCCCAAACTAATGTCTACAATCTTTTCTATGTCCGTATATGTGATTCGTGGGTCTTCTCGCACCAACATCTCAGTAGTCCATACATTTTCTGCCGTTACTGCTGTTTGCGGGGCCCCGGTTCTTTGGTCATCTTTAAGATTAAGTTTACTCCTTTTGAATTCAGCAAACCACCTAAAAAATGTTGCGCGTGATGGATCTGAGTCCCCTAATGCTGATCATAACCGCTGTAAACTTAATTGTTCGGTTAAACCAAATTTAAAATCATAATTATAGTCATAGCGCGCAAATATTCACGGTTAAGATCCATCGTTTTGAATGAAAAGTGCGGGAAGCGCTGCAGGAAAATTAATAGAACTTTGTATTTTTTTTTAATATTGAGCAATGAGACCAACAACCAATCCACCAATCCACAACTTTTTCTGCCACCAGGGCGGCGCCACTAGAAAGTGAGGTACCTATAATATTTGACAGATTTCATAGCAGTGACGTTAATTTGTTCGGAAAATGGGTTAATGTTTGTTTTTGTACTATTAGCTATATTTTATATTAATAAGATTAAAAATAAATAAACCAAACCACAGATATACATAAAAGTAAAAAAAGTAAAAAAAAAAATGTAAAATTGTGCAAAAAATTGAAGAGAAAACCACTGACGCATTGTTTTGTGTATTAATATAATATTCTAGAAACTGATAAACTTTTATTAAAAAAACAACTTCTCAATTAAATTACATTGTGTAACGAAAACTTTACTTCAGTGACAACTAGCGACATCTGGTGAACAGAAAATTATTAGCCCTCATTGGCTTATGGAGTTCTATTTTTAAATAAATTTGCTTTTTAGAAACATATAATACGGGTGCGTTCCATTTTTAAATTTCGAGCATCTCAAAACTTATTGAGTGACCTACGTAAGAAGAAAGATGAGTGTGTAAGAGCGTTAAGAAGTTGAGCGTGGTTACGGCATCACTTGAATTGTACGCAGCGCTCCGTCTATCTTCCTTTGTTGATGTGAGTATTGAAATAATTAAAAATTTAATTTTTTTAATGTGACATAGGTACATAATACATCGTTTTTCATGGCATCGCATTTGATCGCTGTTATGCGTGTTGGCGTACTATAGAAATATTTTTGGAGATATACCGATAAACAGGCGGTGTAAGAATATGCACTACCCTACATCGTCCCGTAGGTAACGTAAGAGGCGACAGAGGAAAACAGAAACAGCTGCACCTTTCTGATAACCCGCTTGCCAAGCGTATACTAAGTGGTAACTCTGGCAAAATCCCTTCTATGAAGCAATCTATGGGGGAGGCCTATGTTCAGCAGTGGACTTTCGTAGACTGTAGTTGATTGATTGAATTACTTAATGCCTTTATACTGCTGACCATAGGGTCATAAACCATTTTATAGTCTGCTATCTCCTCACCATGGACTCTGGTGCTTCACCGGTCCGAATTATTTTATAATTTTCCCTAATTTTTTGGGTAATTTACCTGATTAGTGTGTGCTAGATTGAGTTAAGAGTTGTTCAAGAATTAGTCGTACTAATTTTGGAAAATCGTGATTTAAAAAAAAAACTTTATATTTTTGAAAAATTTTCAGAGCAAACTCTGTATCATGGAACCCTCATAAGATGGCAGGTGCTCCACTCCAATGCTCCGTGTTTCTTGTTCGAGAGAAAGGTTTACTCCACGCGGCTAATTGTGCATCAGCGCAATACCTTTTCCAGCAGGACAAGTTCTATGACATCACCTATGACACTGGCGATAAAAGCGTACAGTGTGGTCGAAAGGTAAAGCCCCAAACTTTTCTTTGGCTAGCTTGCTAACATAGCTCTGCCTGTCTGTAATCTAAGAATTTTGTGTAAAAATAACTATATAATATTTTAAGTGGTAGAGCCACGCTGCAGCTATATTGTGGTTGTAGCACGAATGGGTCGGCTTGACGACCGTTGTAGGACCACGTTCTCACAGAATACCAGCGTCTAATAGCAGCTTAATACTGCTGTGTTTCTGCCGCTTAATGTTGCTGTGTTTCTTACAGTGGATGTAGATAGCCGGACACCCTTTATACTTAAAACGAGGCATTCCTTCTCAGTCCTCAGGAGTGACAACGCATCTGCATTTTGATTCTTAATTGAGGATAAATTTTAGATGTTTATGTCACGGCATCCACTTACCATAAAGTGTACTGTACGGTGTAAGACATCTACCAAAATCAATGATAATCCATCACCATATTTTGTTTCGTGAGTGTCGTATGAGGCGACTTGGAGAAAAGTCAGTAATATCTTGTGGTTTTATATATACCGATCGACGGTGGCATAACCATTTCGTATATACCCAGATGTAAAATACCCTGAGTGTTGATGGGCAATAGCATCGAAGGTGGCAGAGATCTGCTGCGGTTGCCAGCTTACTTGCTAGGCATGGTGATTAAGTTTTTTGACTATTACAACAATCAACGTTGAAAGATAGATCCCACAAATCACACTTTGCTTACCAGTACTAGGCTGCTACTCGAGAACCTTACTTCTCCATCGGTTGTCGGTTCTTCAAGTTATATCGCCGGCTACTTCAGCTTAGTTCTCCTGGCTATGTCTGTTAGACTGCAGATATCATTGTCACAAGGTCTATCACGCAAAGAAATAGCTTCTGCATAGTTCAGATCCAATAAATAGTAATTTATGTAGTTCATTTCCAATTGAGATTTGAACACACACGGTAAATTATTATCTTGTCACGTTGGTTGTCTAAAGTACGATTAGGGGATTTTTTTTTATAGCAGAGGGACTATACGAGCATGCGGCTCACCTGATGGTAAGTGACTACCGGCGCCCATGAACAACCGCAACACCAGGGGAATTGCAGATGCGTTGCCGGCCTTTTAAAAAGGAGTAAGATTTTTTCTTAAAGGTCCCTAAGTCGTATCGGTCCGGAAAAATCGCTGGTGATAATCGATTCCACAAGCAAGTTGTGCCAGGAGGAAAACTTCTTCTAAATCACACAGTTTTGAACCGCCAATCATCCAGATGGCATGGATGGTACCGCGAGTTTTACCGCTATGTGCGATGGTGAAATTGGGCGGCTGCGATTAGTCCGAACAATTCCTCAGAGCACTCCCCGTGGTAGATGCGTTAGAATACGCAAAGAGATGACACATCTCTTCGCAGTGCCAGTGAGTCATGTCGATCGGAAAGTACTCGGTCGTCGACGATTCGAACCGCTCTACGCTGGATGCGGTCAAGTGAAAGGAGCTGGCACTGGGGAGCCCCTGCCCATAGATGGGAACGCTGTGCCGGCTTGAAATACTGTCCCGCATTGCTGACCACGCCAAGCTTTTTAGAGGCCAATTTGGCTTTCTCTTCCAATTGACCACAAAACTACACATCACTCGATATTTGGACACCGAGGATTCCGATACTGGCTGAGGCAACGAGGGGATTGCCTTGAAACTGAGGAGATACCACAAAGGGGTTCTTTTTGGTAGCGGTAAGCGCGCAAATTTTTGTCTTCTGAGAATAGAACTGCACTAGATTTAGTCGTCCCTAGTACGAGACTTTATTCAATAAAGTCTTGGCTTCAGACAAAAATTTGTTCCGGTACTCGGTGACGTTTTCCCGAGAAATATTGACACGGCCGGTGTATAAAGCACCACCAGTGCTATCGTTTGCATAGCAGTGAATGTTACCAGTTTGCAACAAATCATTGATATGCAGAAGAAACAGCGTTGGTGATAGCACGCAGCCTTGTGGAACACCAGCGTTAATGGGTTTGTAATCGGAGCATGCACCGTCTAATACGACCTTGATGCTCCTATCTGCAAGAAAACTGGTGATCCAATTGCACAATTTCTCGGGAAGCCCATAGGAAGGAAGCTTCGATAGAAGCGCTTTGTACCAAACACGATCGAAATCCTTAGCTATGTCCAAACTAACGGCCAACGCCTTCCCCTCGCCCATCTATGATTTAGGTAACCTAGGAGATCACCAGCTAAATGACCTTGACGGAAACCGTATTGACGGTCACTAATCAGCTGGTGATCCCCAAAGTACCGTATGAATTGACAGTTAATAATCGTTTTCATTATTTTGGAGAACAAGGAGGTGATAGCGATAGGCCTGTAGTTGGATGGATATGAGCGGTCACCTTATTTAGTGATCGGGTGCACTAAAGCTATTTTCCATGAGTTCGGGACTACGCCTAGCGAGTAGGAGTACCGGAAAAGACGCGTTAAAACCGGTACCAACTCTGGAGCACACGTCTTCAGCACAATAGGTGGGACACCATCAGGTCCACTCGACTTGTTGACGTCCAGGGAGAGAAGTACTTTACACACCGAGCGCTCTGTAAACAGCACACCCTGCATGGAGCACTCACACCGCGGGATGGTCAGCGGTGTGTTACCTCGTTATCAAGAGTCGAGTTGGAAGCAAAGAGAGAGCCTAGCAGATCGGCTTTCTCAGATTGCGGCATAGGTCAGTGAGTCGTCCACCTTGTGCAGAGTGACAGAAATGGCTGACAGAAGTTCTCCTGGAAAACCTTGGCGAGAGAGAATGCACGTGTTTCCGAAGGAAGGCGAACTAGTTTCTCGCCAATTCCGCGATGTGCTCTGACTTTGTCTTGGCAATGACACTTTTGAAGGACATGGAGGCGGAATTATACTTCCTTATAGAGCACTGGTGCTTGCATCCCGAGACGTTGATGCGTCAGTCCAGGGCCGGTAACACTCATGCTTATGGTGTGACCGTACGTTCCAGTTGAGTTTGAAGTCTTGGACTACAAACTCAACTGGAATACAGACTTCGAAAATAAGATAAGCAAAACCAACATAACATTCTGGCAATGTCGTAACTATGTTTGTACAAAATTGTACAAAAAAAAAGAAATCCCAGATCCGGCTAGTATCTAGTACTATTATAGGTCATGGTTCCTTTAACGAGCATCTGTTTACCATAGGTGTTACAGAATATCCCTTATGTAGTGAAGAGCTTGCATGAGGTAAGAAGAATGGGAAAGATGGGGCTCACATACTAGTGATATTCCGGAGGTCGCTACTTACTGGACTGAATATCTAGGCGTGCTGAGTCTGCCGAGATCGCTCCCTGAGCTCAAACAACATACAAGAAGGCGCGAAAAGTTACCCGATACAAGCTAAACTAAACTAACTAGATCATACTAGTCGCAGTGATAATGGTCTTGATAAACCTGCATAGCCTGCTCACACAACAAAAAGTAGGATTTATTCGATAAAATTGCAGGTTACCAGGGGTTTTTGATACCAATATTTCCTAGTAGGTTAATTTACCTAGATATAATTTTACAGATTGACGCGTTCAAACTGTGGATGATGTGGAAAGCTCGAGGTGATGACGGCCTTGGTCTACTTGCTGATCGCGTTATGAAGATTGCAGAATTTTGCTCGGAAACAATAGAGAATAAGCCGGGTTTTAGACTAGTTTCGGCTCCACTGCAGTGCCCAAACGTTTGTTTTTGGTATATACCGACTATAATGCGATCTAAGGCAGAAGATACTGAATGGTGGGATTTGATGCACAAAGTAAGTGTACTTGAAAAATAATATAAATAAATGTGGCCAATTAAAGTGGTAGATTATTCATCACCAGCCTTTTTAAGTCCACACTTGGATTTAGGTCTTTCTAAAAAGCGCCTTTTTTACTTTTTGAAATCCTTCTGGATAACTGGATACCCTAGGGGAAAGCAGGTGGGTTATGTTGGATACTTACTGAATAAAACCTTGCGATAGTATCCTTCAGCGGCAACGAGGTGTCGCGAATTCTCTTAAACTCATCGCGTCATGAAAATGTCTACCGATCCAGCTGGTTTTTATACAATACAAAGTATATCTCGCCTATACTTTACACTTTATTCTCTACCAAGACATCTCGCCTATTTAAATAAAAAAAAATTTTTTTTTTTGATAAATTTTTAATAGGCTTTCTTATTTTTTGCCAATGAATTTTACAAGAAGGTCGAATAAAGGATCTTTGCTGCTTTTTCTCCTATATTTGTATGTTACTTCCCTATCAATACATATCAATCCCTAAAAACACTTTATTACTGAAGTTATTTTAACTAATTTTTTAATATTCTAGATAACAAAGAAGATCAAAGAATTATTGACTCTGAGCTCACGTCTAATGTTGGCGTACATGCCACTGAGACATCACAAGAATTTTTTCCGTCTCGCGTTTACTTTCCACCCCTTGATAGAGGAAGTGGATGTGTTGGACATGTTACGAGCTATCGAGCACTGTGGCGAAATGGTCACTTTATCGATGCTGTGATTTTATTTAGTACTAAGTATATATAAGCATAGTAAAAATATAATAAAAATATTTGTCTTATTCGGATGTCATTTTATATTCCCTTGCCTTATTTAAAATAAAATAAAAAAATTCAACAAATCTTATTTTGTAATCTGGGTGCACACGTCCATGCTACGATGTTTAAGGCAGCCCGAATTTAAAAATAACACGACTGATAAAATTAGCACGTAAACTTTTGATTTTACTTTTGTCATTTTTTCTTTCTGACAATACTGTACTATATTATTTTTAAAGTACAGAAAATTACAAATGCCACAACGTGCTATTTTTTTTTTGATTTTTTAGGGTTACGTACCTCAAAAGGAAAAAACGGAACCCTTATAGGATCACTTTGTTGTCCGTTTGTCTGTCTGTCTGTCAAGACCCTTTTTCTCAGGAACGCGTGGAGGTATCAAGCTGAAATTCATAAAAAATACTCAAGTCTACTGTCCCTTGGAACTGTGAAAAAATCAAACTTCTAAGCCAACTCAATTTAATGATACGCAAATTTTCGACATTCGCAAGGGAAACAAAACCTACAGGGTACTTCCCGTGAACTCAGAATATTAAACTTTGGTACGAAGCAACGTTTTATAGTACAGATAAAGGAAAAATTGCGAAAAGCAAAAATATATTTAATAATAATAAAAATATTTTTAATAATTTTAAACTTATATATCTTCGGATTTGTTCGGAACCCTCGGTGCACGAGTCTGAATCGCACTTGGCTGGTGTTTTTGAATGCATTGAATTACTTTCAAATGCCCTTTTCCCTTTTCAAATTTCAGCCTCACAGATTACCACATAGCGATGATTTGCCACAGTTGCCTCGTTTGGCAAGATTGTCGACGCCGCAATTTTTTGTTATTATAATTAGTTATCATATTAAAACAATTTGAAGAAGTATGATTTTTTAAACAAAATTTATTAAAAATAAAAAAATTGGAATATATGACATTAAAACACAGTGTTCTGTACTATCCAGGAGAGGTATTTGTCGACCCGTGTGTAAAGCCCAGGATGTTGGGGTTCACCGCAACGTACGCCCCAAGACACCACGCCAATAACCGCCCAGCGGCCGCTTGACATCTGATACATTAGCGGACCGCCACTATCTCCCTAAAAAGAACAATCGTTATAATTAGACATCGGATTATATGCATTAACAATAATATGATATATTATGCATGCTTTAAATTATTGATAATCTAGTAACTAAAGTAAAAAAAAGTATTAGGAATTAGGAACCGTAGAGCCCCGGAGCGGAACATTGTCGAAAATTATACGACTACGCGAAATTAACGCGGGAAGGTGCATAAAGGCATAGATACATAGATTACTGTATATATACTAAAGATATATATATATATATATATATATATATATATATATATATTTATATATATATATATATATATATATATATATATATATATTATTACACAAAAATACACATACACATCTGCAGGACTCGATCCGGGGTCTTTTGATTTCGGGACCGCCCGGTTACCCACCTGAGCACCTTGTACGTAGTGGCGAAATTTACCTTCGTATTCTAATAATTCGTATGCATAGACTTAATATATAAGTGTGCCCTCTAGTGAGATTAAAATAAATCTAGCCTAGCACTTCGGAATGTAGATGGAAGCACATAAAACGTATCATTATGTTCGTAAAATAATGTTCTAAGTTGCATGCCCATGCATAGATGCGTGGGCAGACATCGTTGACGGTTGTCTCATAACCTTATCCCGTCAAGACGGTTTACGATTTATCTTAAAAGTCGGTGTGTTTATTATGCTATTAGGAAATCTTAGCCTACAAAGGTAATGTAATGGCCCAAGACTTAAAAAGAAGTTTCTGCAGCGGAACGTAATAGAGATGGAAGTCCTAACGGGGTGTGATGTCGGGGAAGATATCTTTTTCCAACTAATTCCACTTATACCTCATGATTTTTCTTTCCAGTTATAGCGTAGATATAGCGTCATTTATATACCGTAAGATAAGCGTCTGCTATAGATTTTTTTTGTCCTATATAAAGCCTTCGATTGCGTAAATCATGACAAACTGTTAAACTAATAAAGACATTTTGATGTCTCAAAAAATGGTTTTCCTTATAAAATCATACTTGTCTGACTGGTGGAAAAAAGTACTTATTAATGAAACTCTTTTGAAGAACCCTTAACTATGGGTATGCCCAAAGGAACAATATTGGGACCATAGCTCTTTTTTGGATATAAATTATCTTCCTTTCTACACTAAAATCTTACACAAAACAGTATTGTTTGCTAATAATACCACTCTAGTGTTTAAAATTGAGATAAAAAATAGAGGTATAAACTCATTTGACGATATGAATGATGCTATATCTCTGCTCTACTATACTGTTTCATTACTACCAAACTACCAACTTGATTTTGAATGCCAATAAAACGAAATGTCATAAATTGTCTTTGTCAAAATGTAAGACAACCCGTCTCATAGTTTATTAAGGTGAACGATGAAGTACTTGAGTTAGTAGATCCCGCAGCCTTTCTTGGTATCACAATTGACTTTACCTATAATAAGGATCTTATATTGAGGCTCTGTCAAAAAGTCTTTGTTCTGCTTTGTATAAAGAAATAAAGGTTAAGTTGTTAAGAGTGCGCCGAACTTCTGTGGAAGTATCGACCGCCGCCTACGAACAACTGCAACACCAGGGGAATTGCAGGTGTGCTGCTAGGCTTTTAAATAGGAATAAGCTCGTTTCTTGGAGGTCGGTAAGTCTTATCAGTTCGGAATAATTGCTGGCGGTAAGTAATTCCTCAAGAAAGTCGTGCGAGGAAAAAGACTCCTAGTAAATTGCACAACTGTGAAGTAGTGTCAATGCGCTATTTTTTCTTCCGCTTTCTTAGCATTAGGCCGCGGCGTTGTGGAGTGCAGGTTCGAAATCAGCACAAATAATTTGTAGTATAAATAATTGTTCCGTGTTTGGATGTTTGTCCATGTGTTATTCTTGTATGTAAGATACCTCTACGATACGCTTGAAAATAGTTTTTTGTAGTTTTATAATAAAGCATTACTTGACAAGAGTCCCTGCCACCCTCGGGTCCGCCGGCACAAAGGTTCTCTTCAAAAATAGTGGCCGTAAACGAATCGGCGCATCTCTGGTGCTCCCACACCGGCACCGAAACCTCCATCAGCACATCACTGTGTGGTCCACCATAGAACTTTGTTCCCCAACCTAAGCAAGTGAAAACCAGCGTTATTTGCTAGAAAGGATACAGATAAGCCCTAATAATATTATATCTTTTAAAACCCGATGCGAAAGAAAGGATTTTATACGTTGTATAATTTAATTGCAACTAGCACACAAAGTAAAAATGACCGGTAGCACAATGGAAGGAAGAACAAAGACAATAATTTTGCTGTATACATGGTTATTTTGCAATAACCGGCCAAATTTGCAGAGAAAGTTGAGAATAAGTAATATAGGCAAATGGTGAAGAAAAATGTTTAAAAAATATGTCAAAAACCTGTCTTTTTTATCTTTTAAATTCAAAATGCGTGGTAATGCATTATTTAACTGATTTTACTGCGCACGCACACATTCGTAAGGTTTTAATTATATAGACAGGTATGTAATTAAAGTCGGAAGGGTCGATCAGTAGGCAAAAACGGTGTTGCCCATAAATCACATTCAATTTGGGATAATTTCAAATAAAAGTAGAAGAGAAGTTTTTCTTCTCGTATTTTCAAGAACTTGCAGTTCTCTAAAATATGAGAAGAAAAGCTCTTCTTCAACGATGCGAAATCTTTATTTATATAATATGAACTTTAGTTTAAAATTTGGTACTCTTTGAGAAATAACCCTATATATTACAATTATCTATGGCATTATAAACTGTGCTTATGTTTATTTTGCCATGCCATAATATGTACAATGTATATTTAAGTTTTACCTAATATGTTCATGCAGTCTTAGATACTAAAAAAAAATATGTTTAGTTCTTGTACTAAACATGTTCTGTATTTTAGTAAAATAAAGGCAATATTTGTAATAAATCTTGAATGTGCGCGGAAATATGCACAAACATTTAATGTAAACGCCTGTCTGACGAGACTCCAAACTATAGAATAAAATAGTAGTTGATGATGATGATGATGAGAGTCATCTTTATATCATAAGAATTTTGCTTATGGTGGCAATGATGGATTTTTCCATTATCTCACCCCGGGTACTGTAACAGGCGACTATGGGATATATCAGAAAGATATTATTTATGACCTTTGATAGATGGCGGTATAATATATTATGTACGGCCCGCATAATTCACAGATTAGCAAAAGTTGGCGTCAAAGGTGCGGGAAGCAAATCGTCTTTGCAATAAGAGATCTATATCCATCACTACATTGAAACTGGCTAAATAAGGACGGATCTTTAGAATCGCAACAGAAAACTGAATAAGTCGTTGGATCATCACTATGCTCTAAATAAATCAATAGATAAAACTTTAAATTTATCATTTTTATAGGATAAGGGTAACAAACGAGCACACAGTCCACCTTATGGTAAGTGGGTGCCGTAGCCCATAGACATCTACATCAATCCTCGATTACGAATCAAAAGGCAGATGCGTTATCACCCGTGAGGACTAAGATGGAATGCTTCGTTTCCAGTAAAAAGGGTCTCCGGTTCTCTACACTCACCATACGAAACACAGCAGTGTTAAGCTGCTGTTTTACGCTGGTATTCTGTGAGAGCGTTGTCCTTCCCCCGGTTGAGCCGAACTATTCGTGCTACAACTATACCAGTAATATAACTGTAGCATAGCTCTACCACGTAAATCGTAAATATAAGAATTCAGTTTTCTTACACGGCTCTTTATCTCACCTATAACAACAGCAATCTCATCAACGAGATTTAGCCCTGCTGGGGGCAGACAGATCGGCCACACATAGGTATTGAAGACTGCCGGGCGGTGCAGCTTCAATATGGCGATGTCGTGACGGTAGTTGGATATATCGAACCCCGTGTGCTGCCTGATCTCCACCACCTTGAAGTTATACGTTCGGGAGTCGTTTGTGCGCTTCAAGTCATATTCGCCGAGACGGACGAAAAGTTCGTTCGCTTTCCATCTACAAAATGAAGATTATGTTTGTTATTTACTTTATTTTTTATTCAAAACAGTTAAAACATTAACAAAGAAGTCTTTTTCATATATTTTTATGTTCAAATCATTGTGGTCTAAATCTAAATTTATATTTTAATATACGTCCACTTAGATTGATGACGGTGTGGAGCTAGGTTTGAAAGTCGATTCGATTCGACGTCGATTATTACGGTTGCTAGTCTGCCTTCTAAGTTGAATATAGCGATCTCTTGATTCGATTTATTAGTCTCTGCGTAGTAGGTATTTTAGTAAAGATCGCCTATTTTAAAACTGCACCCGGCTTTCTTGTATTTTTGATAGATATTGTCACATCTACCGTTAGGAAATGTTATGAAATCGAAATCTGACGCTCTTTCTATTGTATTTTAGTAAATTTTAGCATTGTTATTATCTAGTAATAAATATAAGGGAAGTGCGTGTATTAGTTTTTAATCTTAAACGATCTCTAGCAGTGCTTACACGTCGTTTACACTAGTACATATTACTACGTAGTAAATATCTAATATATAAAAATTAATCTTTGTTCGTTCGTATTTTGTGTGCTACCATACCGTTTATCAGATTGCGTTAAAACTTTGTCAAGTTATTGCATGCACTTGCGCGAATGTTATAGGCACAATTCAATTAACTTACAGTTAAAGTTGGTAAAAAAAATTTACTTAAGCCTTAGCGGTCAGTCTCCGCAGAGTCTAGATTACCTGAAGATGCCTCGTGTAGAGGCGAAACACGTGTCGTATTGTCGTCAGTGGTGTGTCTTTCCTAGTGTAGTGGTGTTGGGAGTAGTGGTGCTGGGGTTTAAGGTGACGGTGATAGTGCTCGCAATTGAGGGAGGGCGGGAGGTGCTCTTCAAACTAGGTAAGACACATCATTTTTTTGTATCGAGCGGATGTACGCGAAGTAATTTTTTTTACCAACTTTAATATAATGGACTTCCGCAAAGTAACGCCTGATTCTATTAATTATTTATGAACTTACGGTTGGTGTACAGCGCATTATATTGATACATTGATTTGAAGCTTATATATATATATGTATATATATATATTTTTTTTTTGATTTGATATAATATGAATTTTTAATTTAGGACTTTTTCAACAATTTTTTTATTAATTATTGACATCCATGTTATGTGTATTAAGAGTTTTTAATCTTGAATTTATCATAAAATTATAATTAAACATATTTTTTTTAATAGAATCATGTACATTTAAAAAAATTATATATTTGCATGCCACTGGCGAAATATGCTTGTACTATCTTTAATTATAATGTCTGTAACCACCATATTTCTGGCAAATTTAAATTAATATTATTATTATTATTCAACTGCAATGAACGTAATATCTTTCCAAATTAAACAATATAACTCTTCCAAATTTAAAACTACTTATACATCCACAATTATTTATTCTGTGCCAGCCAGCTAGTTACTTAATATATATTACTTCAATGCTAATATAACACCGTAGGTAGACTATTCCATTTTAGTTTTCTAACGTAACAAATAAAAATAAGACCTCCTCGTGCAGTGTGCAGCAGTCAGTACATGTCTGTCAGTTATGAGAACTCCGCCGCAGTACTGCTCAAAGCCCTCGGGCGTGACAGATGCCATCCAGGGCCAGTCGCGAGGGTTACCTGGCCGTGCGCCCACCACGCGGCTCATTGTTCGTGTACTCAGTCCGCATCCTGGAAATGAAATAAAATGCTATTTTCCTTTTTAGAATTTCGAAATTTCCTTATAATTGCAATTTTTGCTTAATCAAATATCACTTATGAGCTAGGCGACTAACCGTTTTTGAGGTTGCGGGACAAATAAAATCTAACTAAAAGTGTAATGGGTCCTGCAAGTCTCACATACTTCACAGAACCCTATTCTATACATTGTTTCGTCAATAAATACAATGCCGATATCGGAAAAGTTATGATTTAAAGTTGTAACGCGTGCAGCTGATATTGTATATTGTTAAATGTAATATCGGCAGCTGTGAAAACGTTTATGACGTTTTGAACTGAACACACTAATGTGAAACTTTTCACAAAGTTAGTCGAATTGCTAATGAGTGTTATTTCTCGTATTTATGATACGACATTTACCTTTTTATCATTTAAGTGTATATTTTTACTGGTATAAATAGATATTGAAGTATTAAATCGCTTAGTTCTGGAGTCCCATGTTATAACCGTTGAACTCTCTAAACTGTAAAAGGTTAAAGTCTAAAAATATGTTTTTAAATTGTTTTAGAAGGTTACTCCCCTCTAGGATTTCCTCCTGTATGGTGGAAGCAACTTACATATATGAATTGCACAAGAACAAACATCCGGACCCGGAATCGTTTGTAAGCCATAAAAGTGTTTTTTTAATTTTTTGATTCGCTCAAAAAACCACAGAAGGCTAAGTTGCCTATTCAAACCAACACTGGATGAGCCCGAAATAGAAAAGAAAAAGCTGAAGCCTTTGCGAAATACTTGTCAGAAGTGTTCAAACCAAATCCAAGCGGGAATACTGAAGCTGAAAAAGAAGTTGATAAAATTTTAAATCAAGATCTCCAACTGGATCTCCCAATAAAAGCAGTAACATTAAATGAAATCATGAACACTTTCACAAACTTACCAAATAATAAAGCACCTAGTTTCGACCTGATAACGAAATAAGTGTTAGTGCAGCTCTCACAAAAAGGCTCTAGTCTATCTTACAACCCTATTTAATATTCATAATAATGATCCACAAGACTGGAAAGCTAGCAGAAGAAGTAACATCCTACAGACCCATATGCCTCCTCGTAACACTCTTCAAAGTATTCGAAAAAATCCTGATGCGAAGAGTAACGCCCATCCTTATAGAAAAACAAGCTCTACAATATGATTATACAACAGACAGAGACTACAGATAGGATTTAGACAACAACACTCTACAATAGAACACAGAGTGTGCGAACAGATACGGAAACCTCTCGAGTCCAAGGAATACTGTCAGGCTGCTTTCCTGGATATCCAGCAGGCCTTTGACTTTCTCAAAGGCCTGCTGGAAGGGAGCGCTTGTAACACCAGTATAAAAATCAAGCAACGAGTGTATAACGGTAGACTGCGACAAATAGCCAATGTACTATGGTTTGTGACAAACAGTAAAATTCACGAGGCTCTCAGCATGACAACGATGAAGCAGGAATTTGCCCTGTACGCAAATACAAGGATCGCCTCCAAAAACACCCCAACGACCTAGCGTCTAACCTGGCACAAATCAGCTATTGCAAACGACTGAAATTATATGACGTTAAAATCTAGATACCGGGTTCCAAAATTGAAGAGGTAGATTCTACTAAGGAGTTTCCCCCGCACGACAAATACTCGACATAAGAAAAAAAAAGATGCCTTTAAAAAATCTTCTATATATATTCGAATATTATTTCTGCTTTTTCTATAGAAGAAGAGTGACAGGAGAGCACACAGTCCACCTGATGGTAACTGGATGCTCTGTCCCATAGACATCTACATCTCTTCTTAATTAAAAATCAAAATTCGGAAGCGTTGTCAGAGGACTTAGATGGAATGCCCCGTTTTCAGTAAAAAGGATCTCCTTTTCTCTACACTCATCATATGAAACACAGCAGCATTATTCTGCTGTTTGATGCTGGTATTTTGGTCAAGCCGATACATGCGTAAAGCAGTCATGAAAAGCTGTAGCGTGGCTCGACCGCATAAAACTGGTACCACTGGGTTTCCTGTTAATATTATAATATTTAAATAATAGATACCATTCATGCGCATTATGGTAATCTTAACTCCATGGATACTTCTGAATAAACTTGAATTTCAAGTGCTCACGAATTCGCTTGGGATAAAATAAAACACAAATGTTATTGTCAATCTATTTAATATAACACGTCTTACAAACCTCTGTTCTCAGCGCGCACAATTTTGGTTAACACTTGCAATTCGTCTCGGGGTGCAGTAGCGGGTAGATCTCCAGCTAAAGCCTCTGGTCCCGAGTTGAATTCATCCGGACAGCAAGCTCCCAGAGAACTAACAAATATAAAATAAAAAAATTAGATTTGTACGTTATGAATGCGATAGTTGATGAAGTATCTGTTTGTAATGCCAATATAATAGCTTTTTACTAAATGTATATGAAAGTACATACGGTACTTATAATAAAAACACAATTTTTAAAAATTTTGTCTGTCTTTCTGTCTGTCTGTCTGTCTGTTTGTTCCAGCTAATCTCCGAAACGACTGGACCGATTTTGACGAGACTTTCACTGGCAGATAGCTGATGTTATAAGGAGTAACTTAGGCTACTTATGTTTTGAAAATGAATTAGGGTTCCGCGTAAAAAAATTTAAACCGATAAAATCAAATCGTAATAAATTACACGCTGGCAAAGTTCCGGGGAACAGCTATAATAAATAAAAATAAATAACACGGATTTATTTGCACTGCACTTGTCAGTACGAAGTTCATGTGGAGAACTTTTCCACTTCAGATTATTAATTTAGTAAGCTATATAGATTGATGTGGTTAATTAATAGGTATGAAATATTTTTTTTAATTAAATTTTAGTGACTAACAGACTCCTCCTGACGGTAATTGGCTATTGCAGCTACTGGACTCCTGCAACCGACTTCAAATAAAGAAGACTATAGATGCATTGTCACCTCTGAGGACTAAGATGGAATGCCTTACAACCTGTCATTATACTGGCTCTGTTTTTCCTTCAGACCGAAACACAGCAGTGCCAGCACTGCTATTTGGACTCAAGCGGATTCCTAGATAGAAAAAAAGTCCTACCGCCAAGTACGTGGTAGAGCCATGCTACAGCTATATTAGTAGTATAGTTGTAGCACGAATGGGTCGGCTCGACTGGGGAAGGACCACGCTCTCACAGAATACCAGCGTAAAATACCAGCTTAACACTGCTGTGTTTCTTTTGGTGAGTATAGAGAACCGGAGACCCGTTTTACTGGAAAAGAGGCATTACATCTTAGTCCTCACGGGTGACAACGCATCTGTATTTTGATTCGTAATCGAGGATAGATGTAGATGTCTATGGGCCACAGCAACTACTTACCATCAAGTGGACTGTGTGCTCGTTTGTCACCCCAACTCTATAAAAAAAAAAGTAGTTAGTAGAGTAGGTGGGGAATTCTTTTTAAACTAACTATTGCGCAGAAATGATGAGAGCAGAATTTTTAATTCTGAGAGGTACTTAGTTAAGAAAGATTCTCTCGCACTGCCCCAATGGTGGTTAGTAGATTTAACATGTCCTACAATATTTTTTTTAAATATTGGTACTACCTACGTAATTTTAAAGGGGGCACTTATATTAGCTCAGGATAGCTACAACGTCTCAAGCAAATTTTCTTTAACCTCATCATTAGTTACTTCAATATTATCATCATTAGTTGTTCAATACGTACGATCGTTTTATTATGCAAATGTAGTCCATATACTTCATAAAGTCGCTTTTGAAGTCTTCCAAGACGCAGTGATGAAGGTGTCTGCAACGGCCTTTGCTGCCATTCGGTAGGTAACATGGCTGATATGGGATATTAGGCTGAAATGTAAACAATCAACTAGAGTTAAAGCATTAACTTGAGCATATTCATTTGTACCTTATCTGCCGACTAAGAGAATGTAATAATTATTTTGTTTACCAGGGAATAATGTTGTATATAACAAGGTATGCTTCGGCCACGGTATCTTCCGAGTACTATCGGATGCTATCAACCCGGAGGGAGATATGTTTTGGTAATGTGGCATATAACCGGAAGAGAGCCGACAATCGAGTGCCATAGTTTAAAAATGGTCCATTTGATGGTAAGTAGATTTGGCCAATAGACATCTTCATCTATCCGGTGTTACTCCAGAAGACTAAGACGGAATGCCTGATTTCCACTAAAAAGGGTCTCCGATTCTCCAGACTCACCATACGAACTGCCACCATACTAAGGTGCTATTCAATTGATATCACGGAAGGAGGCCTAATTCTCAGCCAGACAGCTGAGCGCCGGGGAAGAGCATATCAAGTTCTCCTCCTCTTCGGATGCGGGAGTCACCTGTCGCCTCGAGGTGGTGCGTACGGTATGTTTCCCTTGCGCACCTACATGAAGAAGTATTGGAGAACTCTAGCCCTACTTCCTCATCGAGAAGAACCCAGTAAGGTGTTTAGCCTGAGTTCCCCTGAGATTACTTGATTCTAAAGTATTACATAAATACTTACTTCTGAATGTATATCTGCATTTTATAACTTTGATCGTCACTTCAGTGTGCACGTGTTTGTTTTTTTACCTTAGATAAAATTATTAAGAATCTTTGAGTGTGAAGAGATCAATCAAAAGGCATTCAAAAGCAATACAAATGTGTGGGCGGTGCCATAAAGGCGCCAGTCGACTTCAGTTGTCACGATTAAATACACAGTACTCCGTATTACTTAAATTTAACAGCGTCTTAAACTACTTTCGCACAGCTATAAAGCCTTGATCGAGTTATTGCTAATGGTGTTCAGTGATTTTGCACAGTTAATTAAATGCCCGATAGGTTTTATTATAGCTCGTCTTAGAAAAGTATTTTTTTTCAAATTGGTTCGATTTTATCTCACTTTTAGTAAGTTTTATTTTTATAAAAATACTAATATTAATATGGAACAAAAATAGTAAATTGTCTTCAATACCAATAATATTTTTTCTCAAAATCATTTCACAATTGAGATTGCTAAAATGGAGTGTTTGCAATTGTTTAAATGGGTATGTTATGGAATGGTAATGACGAAGGTTTAACTCTACATTTGCGCTAATAGCTACAGTTACAGTTAACAAATTATTGCTACGTTAATAGCTTAAACCCGCAATGCAACATAACAAGCTACTTTCGAACTTAAGAGAAGATAATTAACGCACGTTGTGCATAATATCATAATATGGTAAACAGCAAGGGATTCTGATATTTACTTGCACAAACCTTCTCTCTTTTAACCTCGATCCGATAAATCTGTTTGTGGCTCTGAGGCGCGACTTATCCCATTCTTGGTTTGTTATCAGTTTCGTAGTCAGTAATTAGCGCAAGTACACAATCGTGTTGCGGTGATGTGGCGGCGCAAGAGAGTCCACTAGGTACCCATATATTATCCTGGGAGTGACGTAAGAGGCAACTCATAGAAATTGACAGGAGATGGGCAGCAGGATCTTCCTGTTATGAGCTCAATTATGTAAACTGCAACTTTGGCAAATATACTTCTATGATGCAATCTATGGAGGACTTTTAATAGGCAGTACCTAATGAATGTAAGAAAAATCGTGTGATTCATTGAAAATTCATCTCTATCTCTGTCTGTTAGTCTTGCTAAAAGTCATACAACGCTAGCCCGATTTTGATGATTTTTTTTGTGTGTGTTTGACCCGGTAGCTGGCGCTGTATTCGAGGTCCAGAAATCACCAGAGCGAAGCTGGGGCGGATAGCTATTTTTAATAATATTGTGTATAACGAGCAAAAAACTTTTACACCTATGTGTTTGCACGTAGACTAGTGGCACTTAATTTTTTCCTACGCAGATGAAAACTTCTACAACAATTTATGCGAATCGTATCGCGTTAATATTCCTTTATTTTTCTGACCTTTTGACGACTTTGTAGGACCTATACTCACGATGAGACTATGATGTCTAAAGTCCTTATGTTATAGTCTAACCGGGCTTCCTTAAATTTTTAATTATTAATTTTAGTACGATGTACACAACATAAGCTTACCGAGCCTTACAATTGGGTTTGTTTTTTTTTTACTAAGGAGGTAGTCTTGTTTTCGATTGGAAGTATGAAATCTTTTAATTTCCATAGCATTGCGAATAATTCGATTGGTTAAAATCGGTGTTCTTTTGCGAGGATTTGTTTTGATTTGTTTATTAAGTTACTGTCATGACGGGAGATATACGGAATATTTTTTTAATGGATAAGGGTGACAAACGAGCACACAGTCCACCTGATGGTAAGTGGTCCCTGCGGCCCATAGACATCTGCATCTATCCTCGTTTGCGAATCAAAATGCAGATGCGTTGTCAGCGGTGAGAACTAAAATGGAATGCCTCATTTCCAGTAAAAAGGGTCTCCGGTTCTCTACACTCACCATACGAAACGCAGCAGCGTTAAGCTGCTATTTTACGCTAGTATTCTGTGAGAGCGTGGTCCTTCCCCGGTCGAGCCGACCCATTCATGCTACAACTATACTACTAATATAGCTGCAGCATGGCTCCACCACGTAAAGCCATGCTGCAGCTATATAAAATATGGTGGCTGATTTTTGTTATTTAGAAGATACTTATGTCTGTGCAGCATAATGAGAATAAGTTTTAAAACTAAGACATATAATATAAGAGGTAAATTACCTGAGTAGTGTTTAGCCCAACGAACCGCTTTGCTCTCCCGTGTCCGATGTGCATGCCACCTGCAGATATGACGTCTTCCCACGAAGCATCCACTAAGTAGGCTGCGGAAACAACAAGTTATAAAGTGACTGCCTGAATCCGCCCCACTACCGATATACCATAGAGCTTTCACTTCTAAGGAGCAATTAGTCCATCGCACTGCTCCGGCCCGTATTAGCAGACTATTGTCTTTGAACATATTTTATTTGGCAAACATATTACAGGTTTCCTTTCTTATCAAAATTAAAGTGGCAAGCGGACTAACACTTCACTTGTTGGTTAGTGTCCACGTCGATGGACTGTAAACAAAGAAGTCTACGGATGCGTTATTACCATTAAGGATCAAGATGCAACCTCAGCATGAAATTATACTGGCTTATACTATATCGTTCAGACCGGAACAAAACAGTGCAACCACTACTGCTTGTACAGACAACTTGTAATATAACTTGTATTAACGCAGTGGCCAAGCATTTATTTGTCTGAGGCGTTGTGGGATCGCGGCTACTATTACTTATTCTGTGCCCTGGGGGCATCCCGCACGACACAAGTATTTGTATAAAAAATGGTAAAGATACAGCCTGCATAGGTTCTATAGCTGGGCACAGGCTTCCTTGCCCTAAAACCCTCACAGAAGTTATTTGTATGGTCTGTTAATAATTGTTCTAGGTCTGGTATGGTCAAATTTGTACATGAATAATTTTGTGTATGGAAAACGATTCCAGCACAGCTAGCATGGGCTGGGGACAAAATGTTATCCCCGATTATATCCACTGACAAGAGATGAAATTATCTTGTCCCTATGCTAAAGCACGGCAACGGGGAGAAGTATATCCCCGTTAGACATAACGTACTACATAATATCCCCCGTCCGTAGCATGGAGCCAAATGAATGATAAAAAATTATGCTTTTTTTGACAGTTCATTGGACGTGAGTTTAAGTTTATATTCATACAAAAAATCTATTTAAGTCTAAGTATATCTCCCATTTTATCTACTGTCGATATTATATCCACCGGTGTGCCCATGCTCGAAGGGTCGATAAAACTAAGCGAGGGGATAAACATTTTCTCCTTTCCCCGGGGATAAAATTGTCTCCTGCCCATGCTAGCCCGGCTGGATACAAGAAAAATCCTAGAGTGTATTTATTTATAAAAATTTAATAATTAAAAAAGCCGTGGATATCATACTCTAGGATGTAAAGTTATTAAATCCACATTAAGGGGAAATTCATAGTTTTTTTTTTACATAAGACAGGACATACGAGCATAAGGCTTCCCTGTGGTAAGTGACTACGCCGGCCATGAGCTTCTGCAACAGCAAAATCGTTGTCTTTGCGTTGCCTCCTTTTAGAAAGAGTAAAATCTGTTCTTCAAGGCCCTCAAAAATAAGGCCCCACCCATAAATCCTCAAAATGCTATTTAGAACCAAAGTTTGTGTCTCAAATAAACACATCAAAACGGTATGGACACTTCAAAATATTATTAAAATCAAATTTTTGCATTTATTCCAGATTGATTCCAAGAAAAAATTAAATGTGTTGACGGTAAAATTGAGTTGAACTAGTGGAAGAGAATTTTGTACTCAGAGTAATTGTTTTTTTTTTTATTGTTTAAAACGGCTATTTAAACAACTTTTTGATTCAACTTGGGTTGGGTTGGTCATTGCAATACAACGTCAACATTTAACTGGAGAAGAGATGTTAAGACCAGAGGAAACGCTACAGGCCGGTGATTTTCAACGTGACGTCGCTGCGGCAATAGGCACCAGGCAAAATGTGATTTCGAGGTTGTGGTCACACTATCGTGCCACGAGGAAGACGATGGAGAGAAATCCAGAACAAAGCCGCTTTACTACACCCAGACAAGACCGTTTTCCGCAAATTGCTGCGAGAGAGCTACCAAATGCAATTGGTCCAAAGGCTACAGTCTGAACACCAGGTGCTTGAGAGTGACAAAACATTGAGGAGGAGACTTATTACTTATACGTAGTAGAGCCATGTTGCAGCTATATTAGTTGTATAGTTGTAGCACGTATGGCTTGACCGGGGAAGGACCACGTTCTCACAGAATACCAGCGTAAAATAGCAGCTTAACACTGCTGTGTTTCGTATGGCGAGTGTAGAGAACCGGAGACCCTTTTTACTGGAAAAGGGGCACCCCATCTTAGTCCTCACGGGTGATAACGCACCTGCATTTTGATTCTTTATTGAGGGCAGTTTTTGGCAGTTATTGTGTGCTCGTTTGTCACCCTATCCTATAAAAAAAACTGCACTAAGCCAACCTTCATACTCGTAGACCATTTTGAATTCCAGCTTATAGAAGAGGAAATCGTGGACGAAGACTGCAATGGGCTTGAGAACATGTGATCTGGGAACTTCATCAATCATGGTCATTGATGCTTTTCACCGATGAATTTCGATTTGGTTTTAATACTAATTCGAGGAGAGTACGTACTTGGAGAGTTCCTGGTCGTACAAGCCGGCTTCATCACCTTTAAGAAATTAATTCATACCAAGGTGGTACAATTATGATGTGGATAGGAATTCGTTTTGGTGGAAAAACGGACCTCATTTGGATACAGGACACTATTACGGCTGAAAAATACCGTAAGGAGGTGCTAGAAATAATAGTCTTGCTATATTGAACAAATGGGTCAAAATTTCCTGCTTCATGCCCGTTCATATACGGCCAGGGTTGTAACTTGTCACGATCCTAGAATGGCAGGCGCAATCCCCAGATTTAAATCCCATTGAGAATGCTTGGGATATGTCCCAAGAAGAGCTCTGAGGCGTTTTCTGAAAATCAGTTTTTTATGTACCTTAGTAGGACCTGGGATAATATTCCTCAACAGGATATTGACATCCTCATTTTGAGTATGCCCAACTGATGCAGATGCATTATGAATATCATGGTGTTTTTTTTATGATTATTAATTCTTAATTAATAGCCTCATCTTTAAAAGGTTTTTACTTTACTTTTTTTTTAAATTAAACTCTCATGACGTTACAGTAATCACACTTGCGTTTTTTTCTCTGCATAAAAATCTGAAAACTCATTTAAGTCAATGTTTATATATAAAAAATACTCTGCAGGCCATTCCTGGAATTTCCCGCAACGCTCGAAAATCTATTTAAGTTAAATTTTGTAAGTTAAGTTTTGTTGTGTTTTGTTTTTATTTTTTGAAAATCTAATCAGCTCGAAGTTTCCATGAACACTTTTGAACGCCGTATCGTCCATTTCGATCGGTTGGTTCGTTCTAAAGATATTGTACGTTAAAATTTTATTAACATACATACACGGCGGCACGTCCAGCCTGGAATATTCGGAACGGCTTCCTAGGACCTCAAAACGTGCAGATTTGATTGTGGAAAACTCGCATTCTCAAAATCGGACCGAAATCTATAAGTTCCTACTTTTGAAAATTATTAATTTTCAAAGCGGGAAGTTAAGAATGGTAAATTAAATAAAGTTTTCTTGAATTTAGGTATACATGTCGTAAGAAATTTTTGACATATTCTTAGGAATAATTGTGTTCTTAAAATATCTATATCGTGTTGTTGTGTATATACAGACATTTTTGGTCAAAAAATATAATGATATGTCTTACTTTTTTCTTACCAAAAGTATAGCAATATTTTAATTAATATCTACTGGATACATTTATTGCAATTTATATTAACTAGATACGACAGTAAATTCTGCAGGAGTAATTGATTTGAGTAATTGATAACGCGTCGTATTCATTCCTGTAAACTATATTGAGTAGGTACGTTAACGATGAATTATATATTTCTAGATTTTTATTATTATTTTAGTGACTTACTAATATACAATTATAAATATTTCTACCACGGAAGCTATTGAAGTTCCCGAACTTTAATTTTTCGTAAATCTATAACGTAAGAGTTAGCTTTATTTTTATTCAAAAATTTAATAGGTCTAAATCTCAAAAAGGGCATTAATTAACTAACTTTAAAAAATTAAAAAATTTCCAATTAATAAACTTTTAAATTTAGCTTTCGAAAAAATAAATATAACAAACAATAATGCTTACATTTCAAGGCACTTCCGTGGGCACCAAGCACAGCCACAACTAGTAACACAAGAAGCTGCATGGTTTCATGTAGACACTCTCTTGCTACAGAACGCGTTTTGCGTCCAATCACACCACTTAGGCCGGAACGGACGCTGCGATAAAATTCATACCTACCGCATAATCCACAGGATGTTCCTCGGCTGATAGCATATGTATAGCTATAACGGTTTATTTTACCAAAATTTGCATTTGTTTTATATCAGCGCATTTCATTTGAGAAAAAAGTATACATATTATTATTTCTGATTTTTTTGTTAACATCTAGACAACGTTTATTATAAAGCTTTTAAATTATTTTAAGTATCGTGTTGTGATGTAGGAGAATCCACTATCACATTCTGTTGTCGTAAGAAGAGAAAGAAGAAAACTGGAAAGAAGTTTAAGAGGAACTTGAGCTTAATTATACTGTCAGCACTGTAATATCACGTCACAGATTCATATATCATCACTGGCAACACACACTGGTTTTACAATTTTGTTTTTAAGCTTTAAAGTATACGTGACGAGAAGATTTGTCGTAATCTCCCAAATGCTGTCCAGCCGAGATGGATTCATCGATTGACTTCTTGGTGGAGATTAGACTACCTAGTCGGACAATTTGTCCTAGGTAAACATACTCGTCAAAAACTTTGAGCATAGTGCACACATGATTTTTCGGCTATGTTCATTTTAGTACATATACGTTGGAAGATACTATTGAGGTCATTGAGTGAAGTGCTGAAGTCCTCCAGCGATTTTGCCGTAATTACTATATCGTCGGCAAATCGAAGTTGAGTGATGTATTCGCCATTGGTGTTGATACCGTATACTTCACAGATCAGTAGCTTGAAAAGATCTTCCAATGCAGCGATAAAGAGTTTCGTGAATATAACGTCACCCTGTATTACACCTTGATCATCAAGTAGTAGGTTCTTTAGTATTTTGAATCTGTACTCGGATAGCCATCGTAGCCGACAGTCGAGATGGCACCGCTGAAGGGACACTCTATCTACAGACTATCTCATGGTCTACATAAGCAAGATAAAGTGGCAAATTGTACTCTTCGAACTTCGATATAATATGCCGAAAGGCTTATGGCCTATAGTAGTAAAGCCTCGGAAACCGGCTTGTGGGTGATATTAGAATGGCTCTCCAGCTATTGTAATCTCGCTCAGACTGAACTCTAGTAGGTTATCAATGGAATAGTGTCGGGTGAGACTTTCTCTTGGATCATTACTCACACTTACGTATGGCTCCAACAATGATGTGTACAGCTGTTTGTAGAACTCCTCAATCTCACTCAAAATCATTGGTGTCCTGAAAATGAGGCTACCACAATCTGTCTTTTACTTCGTCAGTTGATTGGTAAAGGATCATAAATAAATAAAATAAATTTATTTCTAGTTAATCATTTTATTATTATAAGCCCAAACAACCGGTCCTTTACCGTTATTAGGTCTCGATTAGCAACCACGTTGTTTTGAGTCAGCGTTCATTTTCATATAAATATTATGGATTATCGAGATATAGTCGATATATCTTCCACCGGCGGTAATATTGACCTTTTCTTGCTAGTTACTTTCACAACATGGGGCTCGAAAGTGAGCCTCGTGTCGTGACACCTAAGTATTTGGCGGTCTTATGCCAGGGAACAGGGGTTCCTAATATACGGATTAGCGGAATGGTAGCGGGGCGGCGTCGTTTATGTTCGAAGCAAACGGCGGAGCTCTTCTCCGGGTTCACATCGATACGCCATTTTTGGAACCAAGCTCTTAAGTCACTAACTGACTGTTGGATCTAGTTCCCGATAGGTAGTAAAGAGGTACTTATATAATTGAGTGCTGTGTCATCAGCAAAGAGGGAGAGCTGGACACCATTCGACGGAATGAGAATATCGTTGGTGAACATTATATATAAATGAGGGGCAAGCACGGAGCCGAAGGGCACCGGCTTGGATATGACGTGGAGAGGAGAGTGTGCCTTCGTGTCTGAAACGAAATGTACGAAACTTCAAGTAGGAGGCCACGAGACGGACAAGACGATCAGGGAGGCCTAATTTGTAAAGTTTATAGATAAGGCCAGACTCTCTCAAACGCCTCAGCTATGTCAAAAAAGACCGCGATGGTCTTATAACAACGAGGATGAAACCGCTGAGGATATATTCCACTATACGGTGAACATGTTGGAGGCATGAGTGTTTCGCTCATAAACCAAATTGGTGGGAATGACAAGAGGGTCGTCGTCTGTGGGAAACAGATGGCGCCTCATGCGAGTGAGGATGACGCGTTCAAAGAGTTTGCCCATGGCCTTGAGGAGGCTGATGGGACGGTAACTGGAGGGGAGGTGATGAGGCTTTCCTGACTTAGGGATGCCAATGACAGTTGCCACTTTCCAAGTGGTGGGAAAGTAACTGAGATCGAAGCAGGCGTCGAAGATTATAGCCAATAAGGTGATCACCTGCTCAGGAAAATGTTTGAGGGCTTGGTTGGAAATGCACATCCGCACCCGGTGCTTTTTTGGAATTCTGTCCTTTGATGATGGATGAAATCTCATCTTTGGACACAGTGATAGGGTCAGAGACAGTGGGAGGTGAGTTCCGGCGGCGGACCTCATCCTCCACTGCCTGGATGTGGGAGAGGTCGGTGGGATGTTAGCTGGGAGAGTATTGCGCGGCGAAGCTGTCTGCAAAGCACTCAGACTTTTCAACCTCCTCGACGGCAATAGTACCGTCGGGACTGGAGAGAGTGAGAGTGTAAGTGAAAGCGTCTATGCGGAGAGCTCTCGCCATCCGGTAGTACGCTGTACGCTATGTGATGGGGAGATATTCGCGGCAGATAAATGCGTGGACGGATTTCTCGTTGAAGATGATTGGCCGTGCGCCTATAGTCAGAGGGGGGTGGGGATAGAGTGAAGCTCTCCGGAGAGCAGCTCTCTTGGCTTTTTATTTGCAACCGGGACGACCCTTTCATTCTCCTTAAGGGAGGATTTTATGAGGGTGGTGAGAGAATCGATCGCGGTGTCGATTTTTTCGGTGCTGTCGAGGATGTTGGAAGAGAGGGTGATGGTGAAGTCCGGAGAGTCCATAGCTGAGACGAAGGACTCCCTGAAGCCCTCCCAGTTGGTGAAGGTTTTGGTGGAGGGAGTTGAAGGAGGTGGCTGATTGCCAAGGATGAGGGAGACAGGACGGTGGTCGGAACCTAGATCTTCGAGATTGTCGATTGCTCTGAGGTTGAGGGAACTCCTTTTACTAGCGCAAAGCCTAGCACGTCAGGAGCATGGTCGGTGTTGTTGGGATAGTGAGTGACAGCTTGGGGACTGTACGACTGGACGGTAAGATCGAGAGACTGAGTGATATTAAGCAGTTCCTTGCCACTACGAGTAGTAGTATGACAAGTCCATTTAGTATGCTTGGCGGTAAAATCTCCAAACATAATGTCTAAATTGCCTAATGCACGGATGGCCTCGAAATCGCTCTTAAGGGGTAGGGTTCCACTAGGGATATAACTGGAGGCTATGATGATGGACTGATGTCCAGTCAAAGCTAGCCTCATACCGTGGCTTCCATATTGGTAAGCGGCGGTTTGGAGATGTGGAAACAATGAAGTGATTTCTTGTAGTAAATGGCAGTACCGCCACCTTTGCGGTCAGGTCTGTCGTCACGTAGAAGAGAATACTTTTTGATGAAAAAGCTTTTGTGGTCCTTAGATTTGAGGTTGGTCTCCTGGAGTAGGAGGAGTTTGGCTTCGCGATCTCGAAGGAAGAGCTTAAGTTCAGGGAGGTTACTACGCAAACCGCGGATATTAAAGGAGACAAGCGATAAACCCTTTGGCTTAATACGACCGAGAGATATGGTGGGAGCAGAAGGCTTGACATTATATTCAATTAAATTAAAGTAAATTAAATTAAATTAAATTAAAGGGAACACAAAAGGTTTTGATGCTCAGCAAGAGCAAGGAGACGGTCCTGACAGGACTGAGTAGCGAGCAATATGCGTGCAAGATTGGCAATCTCTCCTATGTCGACGCTCCGAATAGCAGAATAAACTGTTTTCAGGTCATTAGCCAATGAGGATTGTGTCTGGTGTTGGGCGGTGGAAGTCCCCGGGGGGTCAGCCTTTTTGGGAACCCAGGGGAAAACTGGCGGCGGTGAGGGCTGGAAAAAGCCCTGACGGGGCATTTTTGATGGAAGCGCCGGGAATGAGCTATCATTGACCGATGGTGGAGCTGGTTTGGCAATTTTGACAGGAGACACGAGGAGTGCGAGGAGAGTGAGGACAGCCTCTGTAGTTGGCCGGGTGGCCAGGCTGCTGGTATAGGAAGCATGCGGGTACGCGTACGCGAAGCATTCGGCATTACGGGGCCGAGGGCACTCTTTGGAGCCGTGCGGGTCGTCATTTAACGCACCTGGGGGGGGGGGGAGATCAGTTGACCGCCGCATGCCAGGGCATGACAGGGGCTGCCGCGACGAGGGGTGTGTGAATGGTTGCAGCGCGTTTCGTGAAGGGGGTCGTGTCAGTAACTGTTCCATTCTGTCGATTCCGTAAGTAAACGGAAATAAGTAAAGTAAAAAAAATGTCTTATTTGGATTTTATTTTATTATCTAAATTCCCTTGGCTACTTTATAATATGAAATTTAAAACCGTACAAAACTTATCATATTATATGTACTTAACATATTGTGTTCCAACTGCATCTCATTTTGTTTGCTTCATGATGAGTTGGCAAATACGAAAAAAAATCAAATAAAAAATCTTATTTTGTATTTTGGTTGTACACGTTCATACATTTAAGTTTAAGTTTTTTATTAATTTAATTTGTTATCAGGAAGATGCTGCTGCACATCGCCTGTTTGATTTCCCTGTGTTCTTTCACGACACCCACGGGACGTAATGGGGTAGTGGATATTCTTACACTGCAACTACACGGTTGCAGGTAAATAAATACACAGATAGAATTAATTTCCTTTTTTACCTAAGTACCTACTTACCTTATTCTTTGTGTATGATGAAAATATTATTTTGCATATTAAAACAATTCAAAG